TGTTTACTACAAGAATTTCTTTGTAATAGTATCTTTAACTTGACTATTTACAACTTGTAAACTGATTTTTCTGCATCAAATTTTGCTGTTTCTGTACCAGTAGTAATGATGTGTCGACAAACTTTGCCCAATTTTTATTTTCGTCTTCTTCGTGGCTTCATCAGGAGATATACCGATAATCCTAACGGGCAACCGTTTTTGAAAACTGAGAAGCTACTAAGTGTTAGCTTTATGAGTATCCATTTCGATACGTAAACTTGCGGTACTGCATCAGTTTAGATTTTTCGCTAGTATGTTGCGTTTCTTGCATAAATTTCTTCACCGTGACAGTATATTTAAATGAATCCTTATAGTGGCATTGTTTCCTAAACCCATAATCCTCGAAGCCAAGCATATAATGACTGAAAAAATGTATATTCGACATGTACCACTTTGAGGTCGGTAATGGTGCATGTGGATACATTCAATCGGATGGCATGGCTTCGTCTCGCGGACGTGCTCGTTATGTAAAACTTACCACTACTCTCACTCAATATATCACTATATTATCAGCATAAATGTGTTCTTCAGAAAAACTAAGTATCATTGTTAATTGTCACGATACGATGAGTCATTGTAGACAGTGATGCAAATTCCACGTAAGATCTTACAGATTAGGCAATCATATGATAAATTTACCGTTTTCGAACTAGTTCTATCATCAAAGTAGTATTAGTACCGAACTAGACTATAATTATACATACTAACAAAATTTATAATGCAAAAAACTGGACAGTTGTTATATTTATATTTAGATAATCCATTAGATATAAAACAAAGTTATCGTCAATTTGTAAATTATTTCTCCATATAATCTTCCATATTCGGAAATTCGCTAAATTGTTCAACAGCATAAACCTGATTATTAGAAAAGTTTGAGCCTTTCAATCAGTTGACAGAAGCCATAAATTGTATAACAGAAAACGTATGGATATCTTCCTGGATTACTCAGTGCAATTCTGAAAAACAACAAATCAATCGTGAAACAAACGATTGAACTTCGTTTTCAGTATCAAATCCAATAATTAAATGAAATAGCAGCTAACAAGATGTACCTATAAGTGTCTTGCTTGTTGTAAACAGTGCTCTTCATTTTCCAACCCTTATAGAATTTCATTTAATCATTTGGTGTTGACAAACAAACTGCAAGCACCAAGTAAACGGATTAAAAAAACTTTAATTAGTAATATGAAATCAGAGTAAAATCCAATTACAACGTTCATAATACCACTAGCAATTCACTGTTCACATACAATAATGAGATATAGTTGAAATCATGAGTCTGATGGGTCCTGGGCTCGAATCTCGCGAGGCGGAATCGTGTAAGTGCACTGATGAGGAGTCCCACAATAGGGCGAAATGGCCGTCCAGTGCTTCTAGGTTTTCCATGGTGATCTAGCTTCAATTGGCTAAAGATTTCAACTATATAATATTACTAAAATCTCCACAGAAAGTCCCGTCTAATAATAATGAAATAACTGGTAAACACTGTTTAGATATTACTCGAAAAAATGCATTGAAACTTTGTTTATGATTTTGAATTCTGTTAACAGAAATTCATTTGTTAATCCAATAACAGACATATCGTAAACTAGTGTTAACTACGACATATTTTAGTTAACATGCTCAAAACACACATTGCTTTACATATGAATAATATTTAGCTAATTTATGTGGTGTTATAAACGATTCCTGTAAATGTTCAGAAAACAAGCAGAGAAGGCTATCGACGTCAATCATTACTCAAATATTTTTTTTTCTAGATACCTCACATAATAATATGTCAGTTCAGTCGAGAATGGTGATACTTATAATGGATAGAATCGTTTACGGCTGTACATTAGCAAGTCATATTATATTCAAAAATAGTTTAACGCTGAATGGTTTCAACCTAAGTTTTATAAACAACTACCAACACCTATTTTCATCACTACCATAATTAAGGAGTCAAGTCATATGTACGTGATTTTAGAGCTAATTTTATCTTGAAACTCTGAGTTCCGTCTATTTTTGACCTGATAAATAGTGAATTTCACTTGCCTGAGTTTGTATTGTTCCAAATAACCAAATTAAGCTTACTAAGCAATCACCCAGGTAGTGAGCGACAGTTATGTCAAGCTACTAATAGACTGGAATAAACGCCATGTAATAAGCACAAAAATTAAGAAAATTGACGTGTGACGAAAAAAAGACCGTTAATAGCTGATAAATAATGATATCCAAAATCTTCGACAAGTAACATGTTAGCGAGAACCCGTGACATGAGTTTTCGACCATGCTCAAACCGTCAACAATTGAATTACGGAATGATAGCTTTTGTCGGGCCGTTCAAGGTCGTCGAAACAAATTAGCGAACAGCTTTGAAAGGGTCTTACTTTTTTACCTTTCTCAGTGTAATACTAAGGCATGAACGCTCCAAGACATCTGCGCGAATGAACTGTTATTTACTTTTATTGATATAATCTGTTTAACAATCCTACTTGAGAAGCATGCTGTTAGCCAATAAATGTTGTAATTTGTAGATCATGGCTGTAAAATTGGCGTGTACCTGCTCTTGCAAAATTATATTATTATTACTAATGTCAATCGATTCATGATGTCACTCAAAAACTTAGCAATCTCCACAACCCCATATTATTGTTTTTTTTTAAACTTTCACCTTATGTATCCGGCCCCTGATGAAGCTTCTTATCCATTCTTGTACGGAAACGATAATTTCAAACATCTAAAACCTCTGATTAAGTTCAAGGTGATAAATATAAACAAATCCTTTGCAGAAATCTGTGGATATCATATGAATAGATAAACCGATACCTTGAGTTGCTGTTTAATCCTCTTTCGCGATTAGTTAATTGGTTCAACATGAATGTCTATCACAAAATACATGTTGCTCAGGAGGTTACATACTTTACGTTTCTATGTGACTGGACTATTTTTCAAGTAACTTGACTATTTTATTAGTTAGACTGACAGGTAGTTTTTTGGACACGAAATTTCTCGTTTCATAATTAAATATAGGACTAACTACGGCACCTATCTGTTCCCTAGGGTGTTAAGTGTGTAAGGAACACTTCGAATAGCAAAACAAATGGTCCTTAAAGTGTATATGAGAGTTGATAGTAATCGTGGATGTATCACATCAAGATCCGGCATCTTACTAACGATGAGGTCGATGACCTGTTGAAGAAAAACTCCTTCGGTCACGTATACATGTCCTATAGCTTGTATAGCACTGGAGTGATTATTACAAATATTGCTAACAATGACCTTAGAATATACTTCGATAAATTACCAGATTTCACTAGAACTGATTCAGCTATTACACCATGCTTTTCACTCAAAAATAATGAATAGATTCCAACACTATGTTTTGTTCGTTTATTGTACGAAAAATAAGTCTTCTCAGACGGATAGGGTTATCGTACGCCAACTGTCTTTCTCAAGTGATGCGGCATCTAGCTACGGTCTCTTTACACATATTCCGAAATTTTCGGCCATCACAATTAGATTATTCGTGGTCTATTGACAAGAAAGTCTTCCAGAAGTGTCTCTTACGCCTCAACAGATTTCAGGTCTCTTTATCGATCCATAGAGTCCAATGTGATAGCCTAAATGTTGATCATGTGATGAATGGATATGTTAAGACCTCGAATATGGATCTAGACTTATCCTATTCGTCTTCGACTAACCCATCCTCATCGACGGACGAATCTCTAGAGATTTCACAGTCTGATTGCAAAATATTAGAAAGGGGTAGACCATGTACTTAGTGTATGTATGTCCGAAACCTAAAGCACATGACAACTAGATCAATGTTGCTAATGAGGTGAGGTACTGAATGTCAGTGACATCATTAAAGGGTATGCAAAGAAAAGGTCCAGCAACGAATGTTCGCGTTCCAAGTTAAAATGAGCCTGTTGTGTGATATATTGTGCTAGTGAGCACCAAAAGGCGGTTGATAGTAGGTTGCTGTCAAAGCATCCACAGATTTGATTACAGACAAAAATCATTGGCAAGGCAACATGGACTACGGCATATTCATACTATAGTATCTAAACTGTGTCCAGATTTAATTGCACAACATGTTACCTCATATGTACGACTACTATGCTCCTCAGATCTCCTCGAATGCACACGAAAGCGATTTCCAGCATACAATATTATGCTGAAGATACGACTAGTATTCTAGTTTGACAACAGCTACAACGCCTCCTCCCTTGCGATTTATAAATCTTCACTTCTAACACAGATGCACCTTTAAGTAATTGGAGAACAGTCCACATATACAATGAGCCACGTTTTCTGTGACCATATTTGTGTTGCAACCTGACTCATTCTGTCAAGATTATCTCAAACGTTTTATTTTTAAGACTGCGAGAGTTTGTGTGACACATATTTGAGGTGCCTTTAAAATCACTCGTCTTATCCATACAGGTTTACACAACAGCTGAGAGCGTCACAAGGGTCTAGGTGAGTCTGTTCGAACTTCCATTGTTAATCTACAACATAAAGTCTATACTCAATATATAGCCAAACAAAGACATGCGGGACCTAAGGAGAAAACGTACAACATATCACAGCAATCTAGACTTCCATTTAATCTGTGGTGGTTGTGGTATTTATACTAACTGATGATTCCTTTATACTTCGTTGCGAGCTTATTACGAATTCCAAATATAACACGTCCACCTATGTTCATCTGGTCCTATCAGCTCTAAACTGCACTACTTCGGGGATTCTTAGTTAGCAAATAAATTTGGACACTTCTCATTATCTGGTATAACTTGTGGCCGAGTGGATGCCTAGTTAATGTATGACGTGATAGACCTCCAATCAGAGAGCAGTGAATTATCGATTGGGACAGTGACACACAAAAACCGTACGAGCGGTCTAGAGTGCTTATCGGTCCTGTTTCTGTCCAGCCCAGCCAGTTAAGTTCAGAACACCAATAACAGCCTCTGCATTATGAATCATTGTATTTCAAACATACTGATTTTATATACCAAACTAACTGACCACATCGTAGTAATAAAATAGGAAATAACATTTTTACAAGATTCAGCCAAATGTGGCTGTGAATAGGGAGAACAGTAATTAATTGACAAGGAATAAAACAAGAATGGTAAATTGTATTATAACAGTCTGTAGGTCAAAATAAAGCTTATAACAAGTGTAACATGGATATTAACAGTTTAGTTATTTTGCAATTATACGATAAAAAATATATGCATAATATTGGTCCACAAATGGATCCCAAAGTTACCATTCACTATTCTTATCCGTATATAACATTATCATATCGGTGTTGCGATGGAGAATGTGGTTGGACTGTTGAATATGAGTTTAAAATCTGAATGACTTGAAGTCTGAAATATGTTTAGGAAAAACGTTAAAGACGATAAAATTGTGACTCAGTCTTCAGTAACAAGAATAGGAGGTCGGTGTACCTGTGTTAATCCTTCCACCTTCTTTTCCAGTGAAGATTCAGCTTTTCATGTAAAACATTCATTGATGAGGCTGGCACCACTGGTTCGAGTAAGACGTTACAGTCATCAAACCTTTCGGAAGATTTCCGCAGATGACGTTTTAAACAAGTACTGAAAACATGAGTCAGTCACATTAAGATCCAGGGAAAAAAAGCCAAAACTGAGTAAGCTTTATTGGCCAAAGAATAATAGTAGGGAAAGATACCTAAAATATTAGTCGGGATTATTCTCAGGTCCTTTTCCATAGCGAAATTTGTGACTTTAGGATCATCCAAGTAGCATTACATAAGTTGGTCAATGCCGTTCACCACAAGCATCCTCCACCTACTGGTGTTCAAAGGAGAAGCATTCTAGGTAACTTAACACGTAGAGTAGTTTAACTACGGTTTAGGTCGGTATTGTTAGACTTATATATTCGGTTAGAATAATAAACCTGTTCCACAACTGTAGATTCGCCATGATGTGGATACCTATTCTGCAAGGTCTTACGTTGGAGTCACATCATATTTATAAATGATAAAATAATAACATGAAACTGATCAGAGTATGATTCATTCGAAACAATATTTCACAACAATTGAGGACTTTACTCGATATAATTAAGTCATTAAACTGGTCAGAATCCGATGTAGAAACATTTGGTTCTTGCCCCGTGACAGGATTATTAAGCACAGTTTTCATTTGGGTTTACACAAATTGATCTACTACTACTTCCAGAGTACCCATTTTTCATTAAGAAAATGTATCTTATTAAGGGGTTTAACGATGTGCGTCTGATCGACTAAAAACTGCCCATCGCCAATTTGATATAATGGATTTTTCAAATATTTTTTCTCTCACGCATATTATGGTAATACACCAATAAGACTTATCACGTCATATCAGAACCCGGGTTAACGACTCAAAATAGGAAATCAGATTACCACTAGATAATACTTCACTCAGTACACTCAATGAGTCCAGAATAGAAATCAATTACAGGAAAATCACATATTTGATAGTCAGTAGGCTGTGGCTGCTTGTCCACAGTCAACGACCAATCAAATTTTACTTCCACTACTACATATCAAGAACCAACAGCACTACAGAGCCATGCGAAATCATAGGATGTTCATTAGTTGCACTATATACAGCACGTTTGGTTTTTCTGTTTACTTCGTGTGTAAAATCCTCATCTACACAAACGTCACCCGAGTACTTGAAGTCTCGAAAGCTTCAATCAGCTAAAACAAATCGATAAAGTGAATCTACAAGCTGTTGTATAATAGTCCTTCACGTGGAGACAATCAGACGTATTCATAGTTGCTTATAAACAACTGAAAATAAATGAGATTGATAATAAAGAATCATTCAGAGTAAGTTGGCTTGGTATCTGTGATGAAGCTATTGGATTTATAGTTATTGTACGGTACTTAAAGGTTTGTCTATGCTACTACACTAGTAGGCTTACAGTTAAGGAGTACACAGGTATTTAATAAGACTTTAAGCTTGCAAACACCATTAAAAACTCCATAGACGAACCGTATATGATATTCTATTGTCCTAATCTCAATAGCCACTCATTATCCACCACTTCCATAGTGGTAACATTCAAATCTAGCAACTAAATAACCAATTTAAACGACCTGTGCAGAAAGTTGGTCTAATCGGATTGGACTGGTATGATCTTATAGATTATGTCGATGTCACACCGCGCGACTGATGCTAAACCGGTTTATCACATCGTAATAATCAGGTGAACCGAGTTCCTTGATGCTTGTACAAATCAAGAAGAACCTTGCGGAGTAATAGTATCTACTAGTAACAGATCATATGAAGGTGGAGTGGGACCATTGACTCATAGGCCTCCTCGTCATCACATCGATTGTTCTGCGTTAGTTATCCTTAACGTAGACAAGGATTACTAGTCTGCTTAATATTCTAACGTAGAAACGAACTAGTGGCATGGATATTTGGCTAGGACTAAGTCGATTTTCACTGGCCTAAGATCAATGTACCAGTCCACAGGTAACCAAACTTATAGATGTCGCCTAATTTACCATGCTACACTCTGCAAACGACGCCGGATCACAATGGGAAGTAGCGGAAAACGACTCTCTCAGTACTTCAGGCCTATCTCTATATATTCTTTGGCTAGCCTAAGATATAGTTGACCTACATTAATTCCCATAATACCAAATGCGAAAGTAACAAAACACCTGCAATGTAGGTCGTTATAAAGGCGTATGGGTAGTCGTAGGTCGTGACCAGAAGATAATGTCCAGTCACAGCTGATAAAACAATTATCAAATTTACGGACACCCATTCGGTAATATAGAGAAGACTCAATACATCTACATGAGCTTTACTTTCAATGAGAATCTTCTAGAAAATCTTCATAGCGAAGCTTCCTTGCGATGCATATTCACACTAATACAGCTAGACATCATAAAAACCAACGTCACAATAAACGTAGAACATGACAGCTTTGTCACAAAATCCTCACACAAAGTCAAAATCTAACTTCTGGATACCAGCACTCATTCAAAATATAAATCACTGAGTACAATCATCTGTCTAACTCCATTTACTTCACCCCTAATATAGCTTCAAAATTAACTGAGAACTTGAGAAAACAAACCAGTGGGGTTTATCAAACAAATTCATCTACAAGAAATAGCCTTCAGGACAATAAACAAGTATCGTAATCTTACAATATAAAACAGTGAAAACCTATATGTCCAGCTTTCATCACATTACCAACCAGTTTTTCATTTAATATGAAGACAAACAATTTTTGCAAAAAAGCTACATTTAAAAAAAATCTTATCAAATGTCGAACTAGTAAAACGAATTAGCCTGACCAGTATAGTACGAACAACTTATAGAACTAATAAGTAAGTTAATAAGTGTATATATATACTTCTAATAATCAATACATGTTCATTCTAAAAGTTCGATTTCCCCACCTTTATTAGGGTGGACAGATGAAGTATCAAACAGTGGTAAATGAAGGAAACATACACAAATAGAGAAAGAACATGATATTGATTCTAATGAAGGCAAATGAAAAAATTACTAGACATCCTTCGGCACTGGTCGGTTTTTGTAAATAATCTTCCTAGTTTTTATATCTGACCAATGTTTCCGTTTGTATATCCCCATTATTACTAATAATGTGCTCGTAATTACTAATGCCTGAAAATTAAAGAGAAAAAAAAACCCAATTTCAACAGTTTGAAAGTAGCACATGATATATTTTCATTTTTTTAAAGAAAAAAGAGGCATTCGATTGAGATAACGAGTAGTTAGAACAAGCGATAAATATTTACAACAATCTGTTGTCTTTAGCTTGGTTAATTTGGCAATAGAGGATGATGGGTCATTTGATTCTATTTGTTTCTGCAACCATTTTGGTACATGTGTGAACATGTACCGAAATGGTAAAGATCAGATTAATAGTCAACGAGTATATGGATTGGTGCTACGCCTTTCAAATGTATTACAGATAAAGACCTAATTATATATTTTTATTTCCTCCTAGTTTATATTATTAAATGTAATTGTAGTTTTTGTGAAGTTGCATTCTCTAAGATAAGCGGTGTTAGTGGAGGAGCTTTCATTGCCTTTCTAAAGCGATATTATTATCACAAATCTCAAATGGAAGTGAACTATTTGAATTTATCCAAATATAACTAATAGGTTTATCTGTCGATTCTGAATTTAATTGGTTGTTATTAACACTTATTCTGTAGTTATCTATGTAGTTATTTTGATTATCATCTGCATAAACCTTATAACTGTTAATGCTTTTTCTAATTGGTTAATAAATTGAATTTATTTATCAGTGAATGATCCGAGTCCCGAATTTTTCTGATCTTTTTTTGTGCTGCCTTTGTTCAAGATTTTAATATATTTCACATCGGACGTAAATCCACAAATATCAGTAAGAACTAATACAACTAGGGATTTGTTGTGATGGTTGAGACTTAATTGATTTTCATCCAGAAGAAGAAGGCAGTCAGTTTGACATAGCAATTAAAATAATGTATTTGGTAGATAGTGTTTTGCTTTTCTTCTTTTGTCATTTAATTTTCTGGTTGACTGATCAAATGGTTTTACTGGGTTGTCAGAAATCCCTACTCTTAATGGCCGCAATTTTCGATATATATATATATATATTCATTGAAAACAAATGAGTCAAGACTAGTTTTTTTTAATTCTTGGATAACGTTGACAGCATACAATGACGCCGAATAGATCTAGAAATGTCAAATTTATAGAAAAAGACTATACATATTTCCCTTAGTTCTATCTTTGAATAAAAATGATTATTATTAACTCATTAACTGTGTACAAATTTGAGTACGTTACTTTGTCTTATTTAAATTGTGAGTCTTAGTGATATCACTTGGTTGTCTAAACAGAAGTAAGCGGAGTGGCATTCGAACCGGAGAATTTAATGGCAAAACTACTGAGCTACATCTCGATAAATTGATCCATGATGATGATTAGTTTTCAAGGCTTAAAAGTATGAAACTCTGACTAGAATACACATGATATCTTATATAACTCAAGAGTATAAATGATGGTATTTTATGTTTTTTTTTAAATGAAACTTTCCATCATCGTAACACCAAACTATGCAGATAAATGTAGATGGATATTTTAAGATCCATTTTTTAAACATTCATTTCAAGAAAACAATAGGACATAATTAGTTTACATGGAATTAAATAAACTATTATAGCTGCAATGGAACATAATCAATATGATACAATTAAAACCATTCCTCATTACCTTAAATAGAATACGTTTACGTTCATCATGGGTTCGATCAGAAGTCCAAGAAAGAAATGTTACTACATCTTTTGCCATTTGACTAGTTGTAGCAGGTGTTCCATCAGCATATTCAATTAAATCGTCATACAATACTCTTGCCATACCTATTCCACCACCAGGGAAATAAGGATTATAATATTGTCCCTCTGACATTGTACGACCTGGTGGAGGATCCATATAACCTGTAGACGTAAAAATATAAATACATATTCACAAATAGTCGGCCAGAAGCAATGTAGAATGTAACATACAGGCCGATCGGTTAAAGCTGTCACATCAAATTATCAAGACACATTCCAAAGTAGAAGTAATGACAGTATCAGTGGTACTAAAAAACATTGAATGTAGACAACATAACTTGAAAAGAATGGATTTGCGGAATAACGGTGTCTCCAACCATTGTTTATGATAATCACGAGAATCCCAATCAGTTAGTTTCCAAATAGTGCCATGGCCCAAACCAAATCAATGTCATCATAAACAAATGTCATGCTTTTATTTAGATAAAGTTAGCCTCCTTGGAGTCTACTCTTACAACATTCCGAATTGCAGAAAGGTCACGACAAAAATAAGAGAGAGAATGAAAAAGGTACACATCAATAACGGTGACTATCAAAAAGCCATAAGTTAATAAGGGTGAGCTTCAGGAAAGGCAATAAAACTTTTAAGAGTTTGAAATGTGTTCCATTTACCATCTCTCAGTACCTCAAGGACCAATAAAAAACTTAGTTTTTGTTATCTTTAATGTACCGCTTAATTTCAATAAAAACAGTAATTCTTCGAGTTAAGTACTAATTTTTCATTTTTATTACCTTAGTCATGCTATCTTGTACATCTGTTTTGAATAAGGATTCAAATCAATAAATGAAAGTCTATAGCAAATAACTATTCCTAAAAAAGAATGCGTTTGTCTAACTTTTATTCAAGGGGAATTAGATTAGTATATGAATTGAGCGTCAACTAAGGGTCCGCACTGAATTTACCTTTCTCACTCCTAAGTCAATTATCACTTATGAATCTAAGTTTAGTAATATACCTCTTTAGTTAACTCCAGTTGGATTTATCTCCTGGAATAGAATGTACATTAATAGAAAATAATTATCTACAACAACCCGTAAATCACTCGTTAGCGCTAGAATTCAGTACGTTTTAAAAATGCCTAACAAATGTTAGAAAAGTCTGTGCCGTCAAATAATTCATTTTCACGCTGGTGTATGTGTTAATTTCTGAAAGTGAGTCGTGAATATTATTGCAAAGTCATATTCAATAATAACTGGGAAAGTACATTTCCAAAATCTCACTGCTGTAAAACCTCATACTAATTATTAAGCAAGTCAACTGGATTCTTAGCTTTGTTGTTCAAAATAGATGTACAAGATAACATGACTAAGGTAATAAGAATGAAAGATTGGTACTTAATTCGAAAAATTACAGTATTCGTTGAAAGTAAACGGTACATTAGACGTATCAAAAACTATGTTTCTGACTGATCCGAGAGGCAAAGTTGGCAGGCTGTAAGCCAATCACATTTGAAACTCCTGAACATCTTATTTCCGCCTCTCATTATTCAGCCTTTTGAATGGATACCTTTCAAGTCAATGTAGGAGGCGATTCACTCTATGTTACATATATTCCAAACATGTCAATCAATAGAGATTAACAACCCCAAACCGATTTACCATCCTTACCCACCAGTAACCTACGTCTAACCCTAGCATCCTTTACGCGGTGGCCTCAACATATGCGAACAAAACGCACTGTAACCAAAATAATGAGAAAAGCTGTATATTAGTCACGTACTTTAGGTAGTATTAAATTCTTTTAGATGAATGGTTTAACTACGTAACGTTTATAACCTCGTGCTCGACATTATCAATGAAAATTTCGGTATTATTTGCCACAAGTCTTACATTCATATTAGTTTGTTTTAATGAATTTAATTGTGATTAATTGGTTATAACAATGCACATAAACATTGATGATCTCAAAACTACACACAACTGGAATAATTTCTTCTTACTATTTTGATGAATTGAATGTGTATATCAAAATTATAAGCTAGTCCGAATGTCAGACGTTTGTAAAACTCTAATATTCAAAATTCCATCAGTTAAGAATTTCGGTACTTTCTTAATTCTATCTATATATCTTCTAGTACTTTACACCTATTACAATCAATGACAACATATTGTGTTACCTAACTATCAAACAATGTTAACAGTAGTTGGTAGAAAATATATTTATTATCAGAAGGGGTTTTGTGGAGATTTAGTTTTTTCATAGTTGAAAGCGTGAGTCGATTGAAGCTAGACCACCATGGAAAACCTGGAAACACTGGACGGCCGTTTCGTCCTATTATGGGACTCCTCAGTAGTGCGCATACACGAGCCCGCTCTCGCGAGATTCGAACCCAGGACCTACCAGTCTCAAGCCGTAGCCCTTAACCGATAGACCACTGAGCTGGCATCCAATGGTGTTAATGTCTAACTTCAACTGATCCACGAAGTTGAGCAACCATTCACCAATTGTCTTCAGTGAGTTCCTATCTCACAACAGACGTGGTTTTGAACTCTACTGGTCACTGCTTCTCACTAGAGCTCCTAGATATACTTCTCGAAGTCACTAGTGAGCATTTATTTATTTCTTTAAACACATAAATATTGGTACAAAGAAGCACCAGATAAATATGCGCCTCACAAATCTTATTCGATTTGTGTGAGGGCTGAGATACTGCCCAGGTGCCCAGACTGAAGCAGGACTAGTGAGCATATGATTATATTAATTATCAGAAGGGGTTTTGTGGAGATTTAGTTTTTTTTCATAGTTGAAAGCTTGAAAAAAAAATTATGTTTTGCGAAGTTATTGCTTTTCGCAATGGTTATAATTGTTGACATAATTGTCTTTCTTTTCATTCTTCTGTCTATTGATCCGTATACAACTGGGAATAGAATGGAATGAGGTAATATTGTAATGGTTATTAAGCAACACACTAATTTCAAATAGTCTTTAAATCTTTGTAATGATTTCTAAAATGTCTTTCAGAAAGGATGATTTCCGGATGGTAGATTGACTTGTTAAACATGGATTGAAGTTGCATTCTATTTACATAACAGGAAGGAAAGAGATAAATTGCCTAAAATTTTCGTTAGTTAGTGTACAAACATAACTAATTTATATGTTGTTGAGTTATGAAAGTTGTAAATTTTTGTTTTTCATCTCTGTAGCTTGTCTGTTTGCACAGTTATGCTTCGCTTTTCAGAAAATCACCGAAGAAATGAATCTTGTCGTTTAATTCTTCTTCATTCATACATTTCATGCCATCGAAAATGTTGTCGGTTAACCTACGACTCTATTTCTAAATCCGTCCATTACGATGAATACGAATGCATTATATGCTTTACGTATCCAAATGATTGTAATTGATTGATTGTGATAGGAAGTAGCTGAAGCAGAAATCAACATCACAGGTGATTGCTCAGTGAGGTAGAAATTTCTCCACTACAAATTTCTATTCATACTCCTGTGATCGAAAAAACATTATCGGAAAATCTATTCTCCACTCAACAGAGCAAACTACTTGCTCAAAGATGTACATAAATAGTAGTATTTCCCCTAAATATTGATTTTTTTTAGTCACAGAACAGGCTACCTTCTGATGTTACGCAGCTAATTAGAATATAAAGATCTAAGGGTAGAAGTTGTATTTTCGTTTAGCTCACTAGTAAATAACACCGAGGATATTCCTGGAATTCTAGTAAGAAACCATAACCAATAGAATTCAACCGTGTCGGGTTTGAGGCAGTTACCCAGAAAAGACAATGCAAGATGGTTGCTCGATAGTGCCCGTTGATTAAAGTTCGATACGTACATCAGTTGGTGACGTATCAGTTGTCGAAAGGTGAGGTGCTCGCTGCGAAACGTAGAGGTCCTGGGTTCAACCTTCATTGGATTCGAAGATGCACACTGGTGAAGAGTCCCATACTACGGTAAAGTAATTATCCAATGTTTTTACATATATATAACTTTAGTCGGTTGGCGATCTCAATAGAGTTAATAGAGAGAAACACACTTTTCCAGAAAGTTTACCTTGACTATATTAAAGATGACCTCTTTCTAACACGTTCTATTCCCTAAACTAAATTATTTGAAACACCCATCTTAACTAAAGAAAATTCCTAATAATAAATAGAGTATTAAACATCATAAGTTTACAACAGTTACTTAGTAAAATTTATGTACCTGTAAGGAGATGGAATATATAATCCTCATTGCCCTCTCGAGCTTTAACAACATATGACAGATCCGGGGGCTCTGCACCGTTATTAGCAGCACGTGCTGCTTCTTTATTCGGATAAGGAGACGGAAGTATATCAGTTAATCGACCTGGTCGTTCAAACATATTCCCATTATCATCCGGTCCATCAGGATACATATGCTACAATGGAATTATCACAAATTGATGCAAGTCACTTTTTAAGTCACTACACATATTAAATCTATTAGATAAATAATAAAAAATCATTGAAATAGTTAAGTTACTTTTTATGCAGAATCTGGCATATATGTTGCATTGGCTTAAGTTTTCACAACACAGATGAAATTATTAAGATAAACAATAAAATAGTAGAATTAGTAGTGGTATTAGTATTAGTGTTGGTAGATAATGTTAGACATAGAGAACACGATTTTGGACAAGATGGTTTGCGGAATGAAGGGAATAAAATAATTTTGGAACTCGTTTCGTAAGAAAATACAATGAGCGATTGCATCTGGGACGATTTTGAGACATCTTCACCAATTTCTAGAACCATTGCTTGGGATAATTGAAAGAACTCTAACCAAGTAGTCGCTATTTATTAACATGGTTCAAACTAATAGTCAGCAACTTCATGAACTAATGTCAAGTTTTAATTTGACCACTCCTAGTTTTATTCTAGCCTACTAATACGCCACCCGACATTGTAATTAGAAGTAAGGAGTTGGACACACGTCACATATATCCCAGAGACAACCATACTAGTATCCTGAGTCTAACCACGCTAACCCTAATTCAATAGTCCCAACATACAGTCCGTAAATAACAATACGGAAGCTTACACATTTCATGGCGGTGACATCTTCTAAACCAAAATTATGAACATTAATTTTCAGGGAAATTGACACCAAAAGCAAATATTTATATCTGCTTCAATCCTAGAACCTCTGAATCCTTGGTTCTGAATTCAAACTTAGTAATCATCAATTTGCAGATGTATTATATCAACAGCCCTCTGTAGATTGATATTTTACCTATATATGAAATAATACTGGTAGTGGTTAAACATTTTAAGGAACACTAGTAACTTAGTGACTGATTGATAACACAGATGCATTATCACTTTACGCAAATAATGTGAGAGTAAATATAGTTTCCTTGATAGAACTTGTTATTTCAAAACTATTTTTTAAGTGATGTTATCTACTGTAGGGGTGTAGGTTGAAGGGCGGCCAAATCAAGACGTAGCATCAGTATACCTTGACAATTGGACTAGGTCATGTAGGTAAGTGTATACTACGTGGTTTGGGTCCGCACGGTTGTTGTAACCAGTGGTTAGAGACATGGTATGACATGGCTCAAAATCGTTTGCAACAGCGCAGGTGTATTCACTCGTTGTCGTTCCTCGAATTAAGTTTCAAAATTCCTGATAAATTTATGTTCTTAAATCGTATTTCGGTGCCTAATCTTCTTATTACTACTAGTACAGTTACTACCTCTACTATTCTTGGATTTGTCCTAACAATTTCATCTTCCTGTGTTAATAGGGAATGGGAATTTGGACTGATGTACAGGTGCACCAGATTATACGTTGCTCTTGACTGACAGTTTGGAAATGCTTAGATCTGAAAGATTAGTTAAGCAACAAGCTTAAGCTATAGTTTAGATATATCAAATGCAGTTGCACGAATTCCCACAAAATGTGGATTAAGAAAGCAAGCTGTACGAAGAAAGCAACGATGATCGGTAATAAAAGATAAATGACAAGTCATTGAAACAAGGAGCCAATGGCTAAGTGATTTCGGAAATCGACTTTTAGCCAAGTCAAAGACTCGAACTCCGCTACATCTAATACGGTTTTAGCAACTAGGCAGTATCATTATTTCTCGTACCTAGAGTGCGGCTTATACCCAAGCAATTAGTGAATGAGCTTATTTATCTATTATCATTATTGTTACAATCACGAGAAGAAATATGTATTAGCAAAATACTTGATTGCATACACGAAAAGCCCCCAAATGCCCTGGTTCGGCCGAGAGTGGGGAGAGTCTGCTCTCCCTCTCGAAATGCTCTCATATGGCCACGCGAATATATAGCCTCTGTCAGGGAAGTCCTACTCACTGCTTTCTCGTGGTGGGGGTGTTGTTCACAAAAGTGAGAGGACAAAAAGCGAATGTCCGGCGCTTTAACCGGCACTAACTTCCGTCACAGTCATCACGGTGTGCCACCTGGCGTCCTCAAACCTGGACTCAGATTGATCACATCGCGATCAGCTACCACCGGCAAGGTTGTGTACAAGACTGCCGCTCCTTTTGGAGTACCTATCTGGAATCTGACTATGCCCTGATCTGCGCCAATCTCACCTTACTTTTCAGTGGCCGAAGGATTGACCACCACCAACGGATCGATGTTAGTAAACTGGCTGAAACTTCTGTTGCAAGTAAGTATCGAGCGGAGCTAGCCTCTAGGCTAGCTACCACCCCACCGAAAAGTATAGATGAGCATTGGTTGCTTCTTCACGACGCCATGAAAATGGCGAGTAAAGCCGCTTGCGGCTTCGCGAAACGTCCCGCTTACAAGCACTGGGTTTCTTCTGGCTCCTTACAACTGATGGAAGCCCGTCGGTCTACTCCGCGTGACCGTGAGTTTGACCACAAACGAAGGCTGTTACGTAATGAAATCGGGCAAAGCTTGCGTAAGGACCGAGAAGCCTGGTGGTCGGAGCGTGCTAATGAGACGGAAGCAGCAGCTGCATCTGGTAACTGCCGGAAGCTCTTCCAACTCATCCGAGCCACTGGCAGCAAGAAGTCTGGTATGAGTGAAACAATCTACGAGGATGACGGGATGCCAATCACTAACATCTCCCGAAGTCTTGAACGATGGGCGGAATTCTTCGAAGGGCAGTTCAACTGGCCTGCTGCTCCGGCAACATCAACCAGTTTGTCCTGCCCCCCATGGCTTGTAACGACTGATCCACCAGACGAGGCGGAAGTCCGCAAGGAACTCCAAATCTTAAAGCGCCACAAATCACTGGGCCCAGACGACTTACATCCGGCTCTTTTTAAAGATGGTGGTGACTTTTTGGCTAAGGAACTGACGGTGTTGTTTGCAAAGGTGTGGGAGCAAGAAAGTGTTCCAACATCATGGAATGAGTCGATAGTCATCCCTATCTTTAAAAAGGGTTCACATTGTTCCTGCAACAACTATCGGGGGATAAGTCTACTTTCGATTGCGTCCAAACTATTGGCTTCTATCATTCTTCGTAGGTTGTTTAAAACCCGAGAACGATTGACTCGCGAGGAGCAGGCTGGTTTTCGTTCTGGTCGAGGATGCATTGATCACATCTTCACCCTCCGCCAAATGTTAGAACACCGTCATACTTATCGCAGGCCAACAATCGTAGTGTTTCTTGATATCAGGGCTGCCTTCGATTCGTTGGACAGGACTGTCCTCTGGGATTGTCTATTGAAGAAGGGTGTGCCTGAGAAGTTCATTAACATCTTAAAGGCCCTGTATACGAACACCTCAGGCAGAGTGAGGGCATACAACCACCTTTCTCCCTTGTTCCATTCGAGCAGTGGGGTTAGACAGGGTTGCCCGATCTCACCATTCCTCTTCAACTTTGCCATCGACGACATCCTTGAAACAGCTCTGATGGATGTAAGTAATGGTTGTGTGGATATGTTGCCTGGGGAACGACTTCTCGACCTTGAGTATGCGGATGATATTGTCTTAATGCCTAAGGCATGCAATCAGCACTTAATCAGTTGGCAATCAGTGTCCGCAGGTACGGCATGTGCTTTGCACCCTCCAAGTGCAAGGTACTCCTACAAGACTGGCAGGATTCTCATCCTGTACTCACCCTGGATTGAAGTAGTTGAGAATTTCATGTATCTAGGTAGCTACATAAGTGCTGGTGGTGGCGTGAGTGATGAGATTGATGCACGTATAATGAAAGCCAGAGCGGCTTATGCCAATCTGGGCCATCTTTGGCGCCTTCGTGATGTTAGTCTGGCTGTAAAAGGTCGGATCTACAACGCGTCGGTGAGAGCAGTTTTGCTCTATGCTTGTGAAACCTGGCCTCTCCGAGTTGAGGATGTTAGACGACTCTCTGTGTTCGATCATCGTTGTCTCCGAAGGATTGCTGACATCAGTGGCAACACCATATTAGTAATGCAGAGGTTTGGCATCGTGTGTTCGAGCGCAGAGACGATAATTCAATTGGTGTCACCATCTTGAAACACCGACTTCGGTGGCTTGGACATGTTTTACGAATGTCGTCCCAGAGACTTCCACGTCGTGCATTATTTGCCGACCTTGGGACTGGTTGGAAAAAGCGGAGAGGAGGTCAATGTATGACATGGTGTCGTGGCATGAAAGAAAGCTGCAAAGGGCTAGCTTCTGTTGGTCCTTCACGACTCCCTGGTTGGGGTCCGAGAGATGGTGCAACACAGTGGCTAGAGACGTTATCAGATATGGCTCAGAATAGAAGCCAGTGGCGACCCTGCTGCAACCTTTTTTTTACTTTCTACATAAAGAGTGGTTCTAACTTTCTTAACTGAAAGAGTCTTCTGGTTGTACATTTCAGTCCGCCTTATCTTTTCATCCCTTCTCTTACTACTTTCATTATTTTGTGTGGCGCATATGCATCCGGTGCCCTTTGTACCAATATGTATGTGTTTAAATAAATAAATAAATAAATACACGAAAAAAGATTATTCTACTCGGTCTATATGCATAATTATTGAAATGAGAGCTTGTAGTTCACAAACACCCAGATAAAATCTCTTTTGTTAAATTTTAGAGTGTATGGGTCATTACTCAGATGGAAAACAAACTGTACGAATTTAGTGATTCAGTATGTAATTAACATTTGAATGAGTAAGTATTAAGTGACGTTGGTCATCGGTTGCAAGTTAAACTGTGAAAGTATATTATACTGTCTTTCTGAGGGAGGTGGTTATAAATTACCAACTGGTAGTTATAACATTTATGATTTAAATCTACATATATTTTCAAGCTCTATTGTTTGGAGAAGTTTCCTTATTGTTATTAGTTTTTCTAACTTCATCATAAGTTTATGTTATATTAATAACTTATATTTTCTTGAATCGTACTTCCATGGCTAATCCTTTCTGTTACCATTAATACTAGTACTATTTCTACTACTTTTTCGAACATGTTCCAAAAAGCCTTAGAACAAGAGAGAGAACTGCCTTAAACAAAACAATTACTAATCATCTCTTGGATACAGAGCATCAGGTCGAAAACTTGCAGTTTTTCAAGGCGATTGATAAACAGTTAAACTCCAGTGTTCTGAAGTCTGCTGAAGTCATTGCTATCAGGTGCTATATTAATTTGTTTAAACATGAACACTGGTACAAAGAGGCATCAAATATATAGGTGTTACACTTCATTCGATTTATAACGTTAGTAGATACAGTCCTATTGTAACCGGTGACCAACAATAGGTTCACACGCCACTTGTCCCCCCAAGATCCTGAAGCCCATGTGCATCATTGGTTTGGAATAAGGGTTTTCCAGCTATTCGAGGCAGATTCTCCGTACTCACCAACCCGGTTAAAGCGCCAGGTATCCACTTTTCGTCTTCTCAATTTCGTAAACAACACCCTACCTTGAGGTCTTCCCTGGGAGTGGTTGTATTCGCGTGGCCATGTGAGTGCATTTTAAGAGGAAAACCGCACTCCCCCAACCCTCGGCCATAACAGGGCATTTGGGGGCGTCATAAACCTGACTTATGTGCTTAAAAAGAGATTGTTGTTAATCTTTCTTTGCCTTGGTTAAAAATATTACTCCATAATATCATTAAAAAAATTTGTCTAACTTTTTTCGTCAATTAATCATGTCACTACGTCTTTTTATTTAGTCTGTATTCTATATTATTAGTCTTATTTTATCAACTTTACTCATTTTATTCTTACTTAATACCAAAGTCTACTCATTACATAACCAATTCTTTCTATCCCTTTGAACTCTTTTTAGATCCAATGTTGTAGAATATTCTTTTATATAAGGTATATATTTACAATATTTTACCCAATATATTAAATGTATTAACATCCTTCCTATACTATACTGATGTCTTCAAAGTAACTTCTAACTAAACTCTCCCATGTAAACAAATTTTGTAATTATGATTTTCAAATACCACAGGTTGTAAGCAGCTGACGAGAACTAAACGAAATGGGATGAATTCATGTTATTCTGCTCAGACCTTTGTCCTTACTCTCTGCAAGATGATAAAGGGTACTATGTGTATGAAAAAGCTCTACTATTCTGAGATTTGTCCTAACAATTTCTTGCTGTGCTAATAGAGAATGGGAACTTAGACCGATGTATACATGCACTAGGTCGTACTGTGCATTATGCCCATTGACAGATTGTTATTACCGTGTTCCAAAATAAGAGGAGAAAAAGGTATCAGTGGGATGGAAAACAATTCAAACACTATGATTATTCGGTAATGAGTTAACAGCATTCACTAATTACTTTTATGAACCAACAAATAAAATTTGCATTCAGCTTACTTCAGCTGCATCCGCTTTAGCCTCATCTTCTGTGAGTACTGTATTGACTAAATATCGATAGCTTATATACTTCAAGGTGTGACAAGCACTACACACTTCTTTGTATACTTGATAACCTCGACGCATAGAAGCATGATCGTAAGCAGATAATATCCCATGGTGTATCCAAGGTAGTTTTGCAGGATGAGCTTGTAAGCCTGATGCATATACAGGCACGGCTAAGCCTACAATCCCAATGCCAACGACTCCACTTGCGATTGTAAATTTCGTCCATAGATAGTATTTAGATGATTTCCAATATGGTAGATTCTGAAAGGAAAACCACTAAGAAATGAGATATTGTGTCTTATTTATTAACCACAATAGACAAACCAAGGGAAAAACATTTGTTCAAAAAACATTTGTACTGATCTTTTAGCACAAGTAAATCTGAAATTTTTACAATTTATGGATTGCCATGTAATTGTTAATCTTTATTCGAATGTCGGTTTTCGCAACCAAAATCTCGAGTATCTCAGATTATGTTGTCCCTCCACCAACACACCACAATACAGAGACATTCGCACCAACAAACTTTTAAGGTTTGAGTACATTGGTGTAAAGAGTTAAGATGGTATCAACTACAAGTGTAAACAGTTGGAGATTAGCGTTATTAACTAAGGACAGTTTAATTCACGTTTTTTGGACCTATTGACATTTGTACTCATCATCCACTCTTGGTAAATTGTTTATAGCGTATTTGATTGATCAAAAATGAGCCACTTCACAATAATTGATTAGTTTGGATGTATCTTTCAAGCAACAACGGACTAGGATAAACTTTAGTCAAAATCACTATTTATAATGCATGCTTTTTGAAAGACAAAATATTATACTAACAAACAAGTTTAGCTGTAGTACTTCAGTAACTTTTCACCTAGTTCTCCAATTAATTATTTAGTTAACATAGCTCATTCAGCGAATATGGGCTTGTGAGCACGGTTTTTAGCTACAGTTTGAGTGAAGATAACTAATATTACTCGGCTACGTAAATTGAAATAGGTGGAATGAGGTTTGAACTTGTTATAATGTCTCTTATTATTACCCAGTTATTCCTATTGCTTAGTATTATTGGACATCAATACACTCGACAAGTCCCCAAATCAGAACACGGTTGAACTGGAAAGAAATTATATTCCGAATAACAAGAGTAAATGGAAGTATGAAGCACAATAAGAAATACGTTAGTATACTAATCGATTTTACATGATAAGATTCTAGAGTCTTCTCCAAGTATCCACTAGCGCTGATTGAATAAGAAACAGAATCGGCGTGCACCAACACAATCGTGCATGGAACACGCTTTAATGCAATCTATGTCCCGCTAACAGAACTTGTGATCTAGTAGTTGAATTAAATGTTTTAACTGCAAAACCACTATTCAATTCTTTGGTATTAGTACTCGATGTTTTGAAGTCGACTAACGGAAATTCTACGGAAACACGTGTAATGATACACTGATTGAAGTTACTACACCCTCACAGTTACATGACGAAAGAACCGAATAACTGGATAGATAAGTGAACAAATAGAAAACACGGACTGTGTGAGACCTAAAATAAAAGTCAAAACCTTTACGTCGATGTAGACACTTTTGAGCTATTGTGTTGAGGTCCAAGCAAATGACTTCTTGCGAACTTAAGTCTGCAAGTCAACACACACAAAAATTAAACGGACAGCACCTGTGGTGAATTTACGAGGCGAATTATTATTGTTATTATTGAAACACATAAATATTGGTACAATGAAGCATCAGATACATATGCGCCTCACAAATCTCATTCGATTTGTGTGAAGGCTGTGATACTGCCCAGGTGCCCAAACTGAAGCAGGTGGTTTTCTTAGGGGGCCACACCCGGAGCCTATGACCTGAATGTCTGATCCACAAGGCAGTGGAGCATCGTGAGGAGATGCAGTCCCATGGTAGTCGTTGACCAATGACAGGTTCTTCCGCCATTCGTTCCATCAGGATACTGGAGCCCATGTGCACCATTGGTTTGGAATCAGGGTTTTCCAACTCCCCTAGGTGGACCCTCCGTGTCCACCAACCCGGTTAAAGCGCCGGACATTCGCTTTTCGTCCTCTCACTTTTGTGAACAACACCCCCACCACGAGAAAGCAGTGAGTAGGACTTCCCTGACAGAGGCTATATATTCGCGTGGCCATATGAGAGTATTTCGAGATGGAGAGGTGACTCTCCCCACTCTCGGCCGTACCAGGGCATTTGGGGGAGACGAATGGATGTGTTTATACATGGCCTAACTCCATATTATACTATGTAAAAAATTGAGTTATTCAAATTATATTGGTTAGTTCTTAACTTTACTTATTCAAAACGAGGAAGAGCAGCTGGTGCAGATGGATTAGTTCCAGAGGTCTTTAAATATGGTGGCCTAATTTTAGCGACTAGGTTGACTAATATTCTGGCTAAAATCTAGGAGTTGGACGTAATCCCATCCAACTGGTCACAATCACAGATTGTCCCAATATATAAGAAGGGGTCAAAATCATCCTGCGATAACCATAGAAGGATTAGTCTGAATAAAATAGCATCTAAAATACTAGACTCAATAATTATCGGGCGCCTAACTAAAACTCATGAACTGCAAACACGAGAAAATCAGACTGGCTTCAGACGAACGCATTGACAACTTCATTTATCTTGGAAGTCTGATCAGCTCTAATGGGTTGGTGTCTGACGAAATCTCATCACGGACTCAGAAAGCTCGTTTGGCTTTTGCCAACTTATATCACCTATAGCGAAGACGAGATATCCGTCTATCAACTAAGGGACGAGTATACTGCGCAGCAGTGCGTTCTGTTCTACTTTACGGCTGCTAAACATGGCCATTAAGAGTAGAAGATACTCGTAGGTTGCTAGTACTTGACCACAGATGCCTTAGAAATATTGCACGCATCTGCTGGGATCACCGGGTAAGTAATAGTGAGGTTAGATGCAGGGTATTAGGGAACGATGGTAAATCAGTTGATGAGGTTGTGAATCTTCATCAACTGAGATGATTGGGTTACGTGCCTCGTATGACTGAACACCGATTACCACGATGCGTATGCTGACTAGTATTGACAATGGTTGGAAGACAGTTATGGGCGGCCAAACTAAAACATGGTATCAATGCTTGAAGTCACTAACTTCTAGTCTGAGCCATGTTGGTAGATGCAGACTACTTGGTTCGGGTCCGCGCGACCATCGTAACCAATGGTTGGAGACTCTAGGTGACATGGCTTAGAATCTATTACAATGGCGTAGTTGTATACACTCTGTTTTCCCTTAAACTATGGGATTAAAATTGATTCATATCTGTCTTTCTTCCTGCACTATATCTTCATATACAATCTTTCTCCGATATATTATCACCATTAAATTAACTACATCTACGAATCCGGTGTTCATCTTGTTGTGCCAACGAGATATGGCAACTTCGACCGATGCATATATGTTCCTGGTCCTACGTTGTAGCTAACTGACTGACACTATGATCGTTATGATTATACTTTATATGATAATCAGGTAATCGGTCATTTAAACCTGAATCACAACAGTCAAGAATATGAACTGTTAAGCGCCACGATCGAGTTGTGAATAACATTGTGATTCATATTTATCAAACATCCTTGATGCTCTGTCTACCATCCCAGTTAATATGGGAATAGGTAATATAATGAAAATTAATGATCAAGTAGATATATATGTTTACAGTTACTTTTTTAAAGTTAAATGATACAATTTGTTGAGCTTTAATTTTACTCTGTGCACTTTAGAAGTCAGGTACATGTTTGTGAACTCACCCTTAGGTCACACTTTTGATCCATGACTAATAGACAATAATTTACGGATGAGCCAATCAGAAGCGTTTGAGGGATTTCAAGGTCTGGTGCCTGGTGCTCACGAACGATCAGTTCACAGGATTTTGGAGGCGTTATAATTGGACGGCTGCAAATGGAACAGCTAAGAAGTTCCTTTGTTCGTGATTAAGATCAAATGACTCGTGGACCTTGTGCAGACTACCGTGATGTTGTCATTCGATGTAATATGTGTTGGAGAAAGAAGTCTGCTAGAATATGAAATTTTTTCGCTCGATGCAGATTGAAGCTAACGCAAATTATGATAATTGTTGCGAACTGGATAATAAAACACCAGTAACACTGGTTGCAACGTTTTCAGATGTTACTAAAGCCACCGTTGTTCAATAGTGAGTATTGTAGAGATATATGTGTAATATAAATAACAAGCTTAGATGGGTCGTCTGAGGGAGTCAGGAGAATCGTTGAAGTAGACCAAATAGTTGTCAGAAAACGAAAATTCACCACGGGACATAGTGTTTAAGAAGAATGAGCAAGCAGAACTTCTATAAATATACCTCGCAGATCCTTAGAACCTACGACAGGTCATCTTAAAAGAGACATTTTTAACGGATTAGAAACCGACAGGATACAATGATAATACCAATTATACGGGAATATGTGCAGCCGAGTACTATAATGTATATGGGTAAGTTAAAGGCCTACAGATGACTACATAGACTTGGTTATTTGCATCCTATAGTTGTCGACATCGGCACCTTGTGAACCCAGCAACCGGAGTGCATACAAACAATATTGAGGCTGTGGTCCAGGCTGTTTTCACGACCTTATCATGGCTCTAAAGGTCGACTGCCATGGATCCATATGGATGAGTTTATCGTATGCATTATGAGTTCAGAACTTCTGAACCCCTTTTTAACCTTAAAAGTTTTTAAACCATATAAAAGTACTGTATCCACTAAAATTCTTTGGTTTTGTATAACATATTTTTACTTTCAACTAACCGTCTCCTCATTGGCTAATGTCTCTCAAGGTCACTTTATGTTGATTTATAGATTGTCCATAAAATGTCTCGTCGAATAGTTGTCGTTTATGAACTTACTGATTAGCAGCTTAAACACTGCTGAGATACAGAATATGTGAAAATTGTCCCCACAAGTAGAATCAGAGGTTTCGAGACAGAAAACAACATTGCCTGAAACCTTTTGTGACGTCTTATATGCATTTATCTTTGACACTTTCACATGTTCATCAGAATCTTGTACGCTGCTGTAAACAAGTGACCAATATTTCCACCCCTATCATCTTGCATAAATTTGATACACTGCCGGGAAGGATTATATGTTGTCTTTTCTGCACTCATTGATATCGCTCTGAGAAGATCCCAAGACAGAGCAATTTTTGAGAAGTCGCACACTAATATTTGTGTGGAGAGCACTTATACCTGATGCTTAGAAATAAAAACTTCATCCTGAACTTTCACCTATTAAGTAGCAGAATAGGTTGAGGTTACACTCTCATTTAAAGTAAGGATGTTAAGGATATCCAGTGTTTGATAACGCTATTGTCCATAACATATTTATGATCAAGGATCCCAGTCATTTGTTTACCGCTACAAGCGATTCATCCTAACCATCTGCACCTTTTTTTGATATAAGTATTCCGAAAACACAACAAGCAAGGATGAAATGTCCAGAATGCAAGGGAAGTGCACAAAATAACCAACCTTCTGGAGATAACTAAGTACCCCATACCACTTGCTATGCATTTCAAATGTGGCTCCACTGAGATAGCCAGTTGGTAATTTACTTCAATTTTCAATCACTTGTTTGAGAGACAGATTTCAGAAAGTTCATGATGACCTTTCTCTGTGGTAATGATTGAACTTCTCAGTTATGTAGATACATAATTTCACATATTGATTGCGCAGAGAACACTACTGACTCAATGCTCTCAACAGTTGTGTTGATCATGAAATAGTTTCCCAGTTATTCTCTTCTAGAATGACTTTTTAAAAACACTGTGCTGTATAAACCATCATGCGGTTTACATTTATGTATATTGTGCCGTATAAGCCCGTGAACGTCGTGGAGTATCAGGACGGTCTGCGAACCATAGCCTTCTGCGGATATAAATCCATAGACTTCTTCATGGTATTCGAAAGAGTTAATGATTGGATTTTTCCGTAGAACTAACATAACCAGGATTTGATGTGTATTTGATTTAGAAGTCAAACGACTACTTAACAGAAATGTTACTGTTTGTCAGATCTTTTTGATATGTTCATTCTGTTTATTACGTTGGGTAGGGTAACAAAGACTTTGTAGTGACAAATTATTTCCCAAAATAAAATTACGTAAGTCTTTGACATCGATGCTGACATCACTAGTTCTTCTAGACACAGCTTAGCCGGAAGCGCTCGATCATGCATGCGTACCAGATCACTAGTTGGTACACCATGCTACGCATCCCCCGCAACTGCTAGCTAACATATATCATACGCTTCTCAACATATCGAGAACTTTTCAAATATATCATCCAACTTGTTCATCCCATATTTCTGATTTCAGTGGTTTACTGTCTTTCGAATATAGAGGTGTACGGAAAAAGCGCTGTCACACAACGAATATCTGTGTTAGCTTTAGTCGTTAGCACGGCGCCATCTGCCGAACCAAACGATAAGTTACGAACTTGTTTCTTGCTGTAACGACATATATAGTGGCATTGTGCCCTAAACACACAATCCTCAAAGCTGAACACGAGATAATTGAGCAGACGGATATTCAACATTTAACTCGGGGGAATACATAACGATGTAAAAGGTGGGAAGAAACAATTCAGCAAATTCAAATTCATCGGATGGCATGGCTCAGCCTTGTTGTAGAATCCATTTGAACGTTTCGTGTGTGAAAATCCTTCCATACATACATCCATAGCTTCCTCTCAATGTTTTTGTTGTTTGTACATTATTGTTAGTATTTTTTGATACCATTTTGTATTGTGGTGTTTCATTTCATGATAGATTGCTCTGTTTCTTCTGTTGCATTCATTGGGTTTCTATATTCTTCTTGAACTGTATACAATTTGTTTTAATTAATATTATTCTGGCGGCTGCCATATTGACTGTTCGCTCTTTGATTGTGCGGTTTGATTTTGACTGGGATCGTGCATTTTAGTTGTAAATTAGAGCACTTTCTCAGAATTTGAAACACTTTGTGTTATAGAACAGTAGCTCAAACGGAATCCTACATGATCTATCCAGAAAGGATAGAATAACACTTACCTTCTGGTGTTTTCGGTAATTTTAATATATTTCTTACCACTTTGCCATTCATTGTACTTTAGATTGAATATTTTGGTATCAATTGTTGGTTGAACAACTGGGTGGTAATATTTGTTTAGGTAAATTTGTACATTTGTATATATGATGAATTTTAGAACCGTTATTACCCCAATCGTCTTGTTCTGATTTCGACTGGGGTCTGCGAGTTTTTTCACTTTTACTAGCCAGTTGTTCAGCAATCCTAACCTTTTCGGAACTAGGTTTGGATCTTACAGAGCGAAAAACCAAACATTCCTGCGTTTCTTCCCACTAAGAGTCTCCTCATTTGAAATGCCATCCCAACCGATGCGACCATAAACTGTTAGTGGATGGTTTTAAGAAAAGGTTTGATAATCACTTAATCACACATGGAGAATCATTTCCCTCTTGTAACAGCTGTATCTGATCAACGCTTGATGAATAACCACGGTTATTATTACGACATATCATCAAGTACTTCTTGTGTCTATTATAATCTCCTCTGCCTCCCCTCATACTCTGTGGCTTCCGATTAACAGAAAGGGAACTAAAGGTAGATGCTAAAGAGAAAGACCTGAGAGTTACACAGTCTCGAGTAGTGATGCTCCGATAGAAAATGACGCCGAGGGAACTTTGGTTGCAGCACGAGAACATTTAATTGATCTTTGGATCTGCCACTCAGACTCCCGGAGCCCACTCAACAAACTATCAGAGCTGGGTGTACGTATAGACTCTGTTAAGATAGATATGACCACAGTCATAAAAATCTGACTGACGTTGTTTGTATACTACATAAAACGTGACTTGTGAAATTTCATATTCTTAAGGATATAAAGAACTCAGGAAAGCAAAGGAGAGCTAACTCTACAGATAACCTCCACTTCGATTAACAAAACATTCCCACACATTCTGGACAATGTGACCGATTAAGGACTCGATATCTTCGGTCTACCACATAAGTTTAATACGGTAAATTCATGGGACCCAATGAAACATATGGTAGAACACTTAAAATACCAGAAGTTATAGTAACCCTCTAAGTATATGTTTCGTTCTATCTGTAATGCAAGGTAGATTATCGAGAGACTGAAAGACAGGTACGAAACACAAGCCTCTGAGCTAACAGCCTCTAATTCTAACTAGCGTGATTGTCTAGATGTTAGCAGAGTGTCCAGTGACAGTTGTTTAGATATTCAAACAAAAACCAAGTGCGTTCCGAAAAGCAGCATGGCCTCCGAACAGGTTTTTCATGTCTCACAACCGTATTAGAAGCCCGCGAAAAATTGATGTGCCTTTAAAGATTAGTTACCCATCAATTTAACCTACACTGACTCCAATAAAGCTCTTGACTAAGACCCTGACAACCATATGCAACCTTAGTTAAGCAATATTAATTTATTTCCGTAGATAAATATTTTGTAAGAGACGTGACATTTTATAAGCTAGATCAAAATGTTGCAACTGTAACAAGGTTTAATGTATAAAGTTACTTGGTTAGTTTAGTGCGTGGTAAGACAAAAACAGTTCACAAACTTCTTTAAACGAGAGTACGAATAATGTTATGATTGATAATAAGTAATTAAGTAGCCACGTATCTGATTCAAGCTAAATCGTATTCTGAGTGTTACCGAAATGTACATGACCCGAGTCATTGTAGTGGTATCGGTTCCTAACGACACGATTCCCGAATCTGAATATGTAATTACTGAAAAGATTGACATTCAACATGTAGCATTTGCCAGAAGTCAGTAACGGTGGACGTGGAAACAATCTGATCTGTACGACATGTCTCAGCCTTTCAGGAGTGGTCATACTATGCAACTTATCTCTGGCCATATCAAATATATTATTTTATCCTCAGCCCAAAAGTGTTCTTCAGAAGAATTAAAAATCGTGTTGTTGATTGCTACAATTGGACGAGTCAGAATAGACAATGATGTGAATTCTACGTAAGACCATATAGATCAGGTAGTCACATCATGACGAATCTAAAATTTTAGTATTGGTTCTATTATTATGATAGCGAGGAAATATTTACCAATACCTAACTAAACCATTTTTTCTACATCGTCATATATAACTATGGACCTAAAACGCGTCGAAGAATAACTGAATGAAATGAATAAAATACGAGAATGCGTTTTGAATACTCATATTTAATAAACTCCATTGTCTAGACAGACCGTCAGAGAAAGAAAATGAAATGAAATGAGACGGAGTGACCAACAGCGGAGAAGACGAGCGAGCCAACTCGATTTGACAAAGCGTAAGTTAACATTAATAGTTAAAACAAAATTTACAGAAACGTAATGAATAGGATGAATAGTTAATACATACACGATCATATAAAAAGTCAGGGTTAATAACTGAATAATCAACAAGATTTAAGTGTGGCTTTTTAGGAATGAGTAAATCGGATTGCGCCGAAGTTAGAATAAACTGCGTTAGCTTGATATGGAAACTGTACAAATTCTGAGAATTAATGGAAAAATGGGAATAATGACAAAAAACTTATTATAGTTGAAAGCGTGAGTCAAGTGAAGCTAGACCACCATGGAAAACCTGGAAACACTGGACGGCCGTTTCGTCCTATTATGGGACTCCTCAGTAGTGCGCATCCACGAACCCGCTCTCGCGAGATTCGAACCAAGGACCTACCAGTCTCGAGTCGAAGCCCTTAACCGATAGACCACTGAGCTGGCATCCAATGGTGTTAATGTCTAACTTCAACTGATCCACGAAGTTGAGCAACCATTCACCAATTGTCTTCAGTGAGTTCCTATCTCACAACAGACGTGGTTTTGAACTCTACTGGTCACTGCTTCTCAATTGACTCACGCTTTCAACTATAATAAATACTAAATCTCCACAAAACCCCTTCTATAATTAATATAATCATATGCTCACTAGTGACTTCGAGAAGTATATCTAGGAGTTCTAGTGGCCTGATGAAAAATATCAAATCGTGCAATCTATAATCTATGTGAACATACATCTACTTTAAAATCAACATATTTGGAGTTATGGTCTACTTCGTTATTAGTACTGCTCTAATAATAGATCTAATCCTAAAATTGTAGATTTGTCATGATGTAACTGCCTAATATATAAGATCTTTATTTATTTATTATTTATTTAAACACATAAATATTGGTACAATGAAGCATCAGATACATATGCGCCTCACAAATCTCATTCGATTTGTGTGAAGGCTGTGATACTGCCCAGGTGCCCAAACTGAAGCAGGTGGTTTTCTTAGGGGGCCACACCCGGAGCCTATGACCTGAATGTCTGATCCACAAGGCAGTGGAGAATTGTGAGGAGATGCAGTCCCATGGTTGATTCGTACGCCATTCGTTCCATCAGGATACTGGAGCCCATGTGCACGATTGGCTTGGAATCAGGGTTTTCCAACTCCCTTAGGTGGACTCGCCTTGTCCACCAACCCGGTTAAAGCACCGGACATTCGCTTTTCGCTTTTCGGATAGGACAACATATTTGATCTGAATGAAAGCGGTAAGTTACACAAGAATGACCACAGAGGCAAGGCTTAGCCATGCCATCCGATGGATTGAATTCATCTCTCCATTGGATGCTGGCTCAGTGGTCTATCAGTTAAATGCTCTGGTGCGAGAGTGGTAGATCCTTGGTTTTAATCCCACGAGGCGGGATCGTGGATGCGCACTGCTGAGGAGTCCCACTATAGGATGAAGTGGCCGTCCAGTGTTTCCAGGCTTCCCACAGTGGTCTATCTCCAATCGACCCATGATTTCAACTGTGTGTAAAAAAAATTACTAAAAATCTCCACAAACAACCGACCTGCTTAATGATAAGTTTGAATTCAGTTTGCATTGTTTTTTTTTGTCCTTAAAATCGGAAGATTTATGAGGACACCCTAAAAAGGTTCACAAGCCGAGAATAGTCTTCCTGTTAGTTGACTATCGAATTTTACACCAAATCATCAACGAGTGGAATTCATCCATTAAACACGTGATTGAAGCTTTATCTATATACTCATCCGAAAGAAAATTAGATCAACTGATCGATCACCATTACCGGTCTAATGGTCCATCCAGCCTCTTATCTTTTTCCAATGAAACTGAACTACCAATTAATTAACCTTCTCATCTGTTCATGAAACAATGGTCTTCCCTTGGTCCATGAATTATTTCTTTCTCTATTTTTATGTTGTGATCGACTAAAATTCTACCCGGTAACGTGGCAGCTCCTAGTATCCAAAAGCCATACTGCACTGAGACAAACACACTCAACTACAAAATTTACTAATCCTCAAGTAACCACCAAAATGAGTAGAATTAGTGCCATTATGTGGCTATAATGGCATCTTTTTAATATAAACGAATACCTGGAGCCATATCGAAACAAGAAAAAGAGAGCTTAATGAAATCAATCGTTTTATACATGCTCTTGACAGAGATATTGGATATTGGACTGAAATGCTCGTAGCCTAAATTTGTGCGTTACTTTGTCACGGATTATTTTGAAGAGTATGTTAAGAACATTTAATTCAGAATTGAGTTCCTGAACGTAGTCAGCTTTTAAGTATATGATAAAAAAATAAGACTACTCATTCATCTTTCAGTTAACTGAATTTTCTGTTCTAAAAGTTCCAGTAGGGTCGGATATGAAAATCTGAAGCTGTAGTAGGAAGTTAGTGTTCCTGTGACGAACTGATCCCAACTATAATACAAGGACATCATAAAAATAAACGTTTTTGCACTAACAAACCAGTGTATTCTGTCCTTCACTAACTTATCCCTTAGTTTTCTTTCACTTATGACATGGTCTTGCCTATATTGTGATTCCTTATTTATCCGATAATGTGACCAAGAAACTATTGACTAATGTTATACGAGTCGTTTTATAAAGCCGAATTGTACAACCAGAATTTGCCCATTCTGTGTGCTGTTCTGTCTAGTCTGTCGGGCTAACCAGCTAACGTAAGAGAATTGGATACTGGACCAAAGACTACTGGCGTTCGTGTGGCACACATTTAAGGCGTTTCGGGAATCATACGTTTTATACATACAGGTCTAGGAAGAAGTGGCTTCCAAGACCTGACTACCAGAAAACCCTTAATCGTAAGGTTCGTTTCGCCATTTAGCTTTCGAGTTCTTATCTCTGTAAGAGCATTCTTCCACTTGATCCGATTCTCAAGCGGCCAATCTGGTCGAATACGAATATTTGAATCACGAGTTTTGTGTGTGTTATTCAGTATTACGTTTCTTCCCTCAAAATTCAAGAGTACTGAATTCTAGATCCTTCTTTGTTGAATCTCGCCTCCAACCCATTTACCGAGTCTCATTACTTTCGTGATATGTGCCCCTGAAACCTTTTTGAACAGCACATTTCTGATGACAGATCCCACCAACTGCAGATCGTGCGCATGTCTTTTAGCAGGGTTATTGTCTTTAGACTCTTCTAGATTCCAAATAATTAAACTAGGAACGTGTTTAACTTCTTTAAAAATCGTGTTCACGGCTTTCGACAGCGATGTCAGATCCTATCTGTTAACTGCTGGCATCTTACTGTTAGCTTTCCTTGTAACAGTGTCGTGTGAGTCGAGCGAATGACACAACAATGTTTGATGGGGCTAAATATTGTCTTACTTTCGGACTTTAGCAGAGTAATCTGACACTCAGTATGTGAGTCCAACAAAGACTTTTCAACTTAATGAGTCCTTTCTTTGGCTACCTTTCCATTTCTTTTACGTTCTCACATCATCCATTTCCCATCAGTCGCAGCATCCAGATTAGAACTACTTGGGATGATAATGGTTCTACCCGGATCATCAGTCACTGCTGTAGCCACCTGGTCACAAATATCTAAAGGTGTATCGCTCTTTAATTGTTTCGGGGTAGAAAGCTCTATTTCGTGTTGCACAGTTGTATGTCTGGCACGTGCCGTGACAGCACTTACGACACTGACACATTCTTCGTTATCAGTACCCATGTTACCGGTACAGCCCTCGTCAACCTTTTTGTTAGATAATGCCAAAAGGCTAATTGCTTCTTGAATGAGTAATGTTTTGCTCGAACAACAAAACATACAGAGCCAGTGAGAATTAGTCTTTGAGCACCTTTTATAGGCAGTGGGACTTTAGAGAGCGCACATTTTATGGAACCACTTCTTACACTCATCACATTGCATTCTATCTACAGGGAATAAGTAATATGGCTGTCCACACTTGTTAGAAGAGCCGACCATCTTAAAAGTTACCTAAAATGGTAGACAAAATGGATATGTGAAGCAAATCTCAAACCTTGATCAAATAAATCAAGTCAAAGTCGACCAAGAATGCTTTGATGCAGTAAATACACAAAAGCAAGATCAAAACACACAAATACAGTATCACTTCAACTGAAATAAATTCAATTAAAGTGTAAACAGTAGTTTTAGTGCGTAACTTACGATCGAAACAGTGAATTTAACTCAAACAATACCGCTGTCCTTTTTAAACAGCTCACCAGTAAGCCTGTTTTTTCCATCATCACATCGCTTTTATTGGCTAGAGTGGGCTAAAAAATACTTCATGATCACAAAACAAAATATTTTGCCTGTCCATCGAGTCGTTTTCTGTTTTTTAAACTTAACCTTATAAAGTTTCAGTTACTGATAACGTCCTGGAACCAGTCACCCTTGTACATGTTTTTAGGTCCCATAAGTCTTATTACTTTCTTTTTTTTTCTATTCTCACTATTCATTCTGACCGTTTTATCGGTCCATAGTTCGGTTCGTGTAGTTATTCTGGTTTGGGAACCAGGTTGTATGGAGCCCTCACATAAATAGCGTGACATGAGGTCAACTACATAAATCTGTAGTTGGCAAACAATTTATATAAACTTGATCTGTTGAGTTACCCCCTTCGGTGTTTTGCAAACAAAAGGTATTTTTGTAAGGTTACTTATTCATGATTACTTTTTACGAGAAAGTTTTATATTTTATTTATTTTAACACAAAACTGGGAAGCGTCTTGTAAACCACCAGGTTAGTTGTCCTTTGTACCCTTCACAATAATAACAATAATCCTAATTAGGTGAACTAGTTCTGAAATTATCAGTTTTGTTATAATTTTCCAAGTGTCAGCCTATTCTCATTCTGTAACACTGTTTTTCCAAGTTTGTTTTGATAAATATGGATGTGTCATAACGTTCAATTTCATTTTTCTAATCCTTTCAGCCTCAACAGCTCAGCGCAATCTTCGCTATCATCGGAAAAGTTGGCTGCATAAGTCATCTAGTTTCTGTCAGTGCAATTAAAATGTCACATGTTTTACGTAATGTACAGTTCTCCCATCATTTGAATTCATTCAGACGTTATCTCAAACCTTCATTTCTGAACCGTAAGAAGCTTTTCATTTTACAGGTTTAATAGACTCAAGAAAGTTTAATGAAAACTCTACTCCTGCTTCCACGATGTAATTTTAAATATATTTATTTTAATTGTTTAATTTTAGAGTAAACGTTCGATTTGTTGATCGGAACGGTAGCATCAGACATGTTGAAGGGGCAGTTGGAGATAATTTAATGATATTAGCCCGCCGGCATAATGTTGAAATAGAGGGGGCTTGTGAAGGTTCTCTGGCATGTTCTACTTGCCATGTCTATATTGATCAAAAATTTTATGATCTGCTCCCACCTGCTTCTGAGGGAGAGGAAGATATGTTAGATCTAGCTGTTTTCCTACAAGAAAACTCTAGGTTATGTAAGTTACATATAAATATCCTATTTCCCAATAAGTGCTCAAGTTGTTTAGCATTTGATATTCTGATTACATTGTACGAATAAAAAACTCTCTCTGACCACTGTTATGACCGCTTATATAATGCACTTAAGTCGTGACATTTTTTAAAACCTACGGTCTAAAAACTAACTATTTAGGATTTTGGCAATTTTTGTTGTTGCGTATACGGAGCCTTTTTTGAGCCATCAAATGTTTAACAAGATTTTCCTACTAGCAGTTATCTAGTAGTATATAAATGCATGTAAATGATTACTAGCCATGTGGTAATATAGTAAAGACAACACTACTGAATGTTGGGTTACTTCCTCAGTTCTTCTGTCTTTTTGTATATACGTTTTTCCATTTATTTGAACACAAATATTGGTACAAGGTGGCACCAGATATATATGCGCCACACAAGAAATTTCATTTATTTGTGTGAGGGCTATGATACTGTTCGGGTACCCAGACCGAATCAGGTGATTTTCTTAGGGGGCCACATCGGAGCCTTTGACCTGAACGTCTGATCCACAAGGCAGTGGAGCATCGTGAGGAGATGCAGTCCCATTGTAGCCGGTGATCGACGATTGGTTCATACGCCATTTGCTCTCTCAGGATACTGAAGCCTATGTGCACCATTGGTTTGGAATTGTGGTTTTCCAACTCCCCTTGGTGAACCTTCCGTGTACACTAACCTAGTTAAAGCACCGTATATTCGCTTTTTATCCTCTCAATTTCGTAAACAACACCCCTAGTGTGAGAAAGTAGTGAGTAGAACTTTCCTGGTAGTATTTGTATGCACGTGACCATGTGAGAATATTTTGAGAGGGAGAGCTCTCCCTCTCCCTACTCTCAGCCATAGCAGGGCATTCGGGGGACCTACATGTTTTGTGAAGCAAAGTCTAATTTTTAGAATTAAATAAACTGAATTAATCCAACCACTATCTTCTAGGTACAAACGAATTCGAGTGTACAGAAGATTATAAAAATAAACCGAAAGTGTGAAAACTTGTTTAGTTGAATGAGCTGAATATATCAGATGTTTGCTGTTGTTGGAAAGAAAGTTGTAAAACTGTTAATAAAATGTATTGTGATAGCATAGCTAATTTGTAGAGATATTAACATTCAACTACTGTACTACGAATGCAAACATCGCTCCACTTTGTTTTGAGTAGCGTTGTTGTTTCTCCAGCTTTTAAACAAACCTGATCTTGGTTGTTAAATTACATAGAAAATTTCAGGAATATAAGGAAATGTTCTGTACTGGACTAAGATAATAAGAGTTAAGTAAGTTTAAATCATTGAAAGAAAAGAAAATACCACGTCAATACAACTAGGTGAACGTAAATATCACTAAAATGTTTGGTTAGTGACTTTATTTCCCTATATAAAAGTCATGTTATGTAACTGGCTTTTTTTGAAATGTAAGTGTGACATTTCCAGTTAGTCACTATCAACTTATAATCTGAGACAGATGTGCACCGGCTCACGTTACCATACTACGTTAGCACAACTAGATAAAAATGGAAACTTAGATGGTTAAAGAGGTTAAAATAATTTAGTGTCATTAACAGTGAGAACGTAACAATGTGCATAAGATTCGAAAAGACAGAATGGAAAGGTTTGTATGAAAGAACACTGGAATTCCTAATGGAAAGATAAATAGTGAGTGTATCTGCCCTATGGTGAGCGATTCTGATCCAAATCACCCAGTCTTCAAGCAGACTCCAACAAGGTAATCTACATTTACCAACTTGGTTCATACCAACTGTTATTGACTTCATCTACTGATGTCATATCTTGGTTCGGTCACTCCTAGTTTTCTTCCAACCTACTGTTTCATCAACAACACAGATCTCATTTTCAGGTGGCTTCTTATCCCTCCACGTATTACTGACTTTTTCTAGGTTTTTTATGGTTATGTTATTACCGGTGGTTGGCGGATAGCAAACACCTTATCGGAGGTTACTCTTTAGTTATTGTATGTGTAGAATTTTCCCGACCGTTGCTGCTACCTTGACGTGGTGGTCGGGCTTGACTATCGTGATGAAGCAATCGAGCTATGCTGGCTGGAACAATCGTTCCTCAAGGTCCTACCATGCCAGACAGGTCGGTTGAAGAGCGGTGAGACTAAAAGCAGCAAACCCAAGGTCCGAAGGCGAAGTCGTACTGTCGACTGTACAGAGGTGTGACGGCAGTAAGGTGTTTCCTTCAGACAACCAGCATGACAGCGACGCTGCCTTCCCACAAGGAGGGGTGGGGTTAGAAAAGGTCGGCCCTAAAAATGCACACCTCGCCTTATCCCACGGATATCCGTCTCCGGCGGTAAGGTTTCTTTTGAAGAACGGAGCTAACACAAAAACTACCCACAAAAAGGTCGTGTGTGACCGACCTCAAGCAGTTGTCTCTTGGGCACTGCGGTCACGCTCTCAGGTCATTAAGACCACTTCTAACCCAATTTCCTTTTCAGGTACCCCCAGGAGAACCCTTCCACGGTGTGGGCAACCGGGAAGTGATAACTGCCCTCATACCTCTAACAACACTCAAGACCACCGTATTCATAATCAATTTCCTTCAATTCCTACTATTCCTTCTACCTTGACTTTCAACGCTAAACTTCCTCTTCCGGTTTCCTCCTCAAGTGTCACCATGGCCAACGATTCTAGTGCGCGAAACGCTGTCCCAGGTCTACTTGAACCTCGCTCCAAACTACACATTGGAGCCTTCAACGTACGTACCCTATGCCAAATCGGTCAACAGGCCTCCTTAGCTAAAACCCTAGAATCTCGTACCATTGATGTATGCTGTGTCTCCGAAACACGCATACAGGATCCCAGTGTGGTCATTCACTTGACCTCACCTCGCCAAAATGGACAGCCAACGAAATACACCCTCCGTGTATCTGGTGACTCGTTGGCTAATTCTCGCGGACTTGCCGGTGTAGGCATAGCACTAAGTACAAGGGCAGAACAGGCACTATTAGAATGGATCCCCGTTAACAGTCGCCTGTGTGCTGTCCGGCTGAATGGCTCCGTAAGAACTCGGAAGGATAGGGACACACGTCGTTGCCTTTTCGTCGTTTCTGCCTACGCTCCCACCGACTGCAGCCATGATGAAATGAAAGATGACTTTTACAGAAAGCTCTCTGAGCTTCTTCAGAAAGCTAAGCGCTCAGACATAGTACTCATAGCGGGTGACTTTAATGCCCAGGTAGGCAGCTTGAATCAAACAGAAAGACATTTAGGTGGGTGTTTTAGTATTCCGGCTCAACGAACCGATAACGCTGATCGTCTGTTGCAACTATGCTCAGACAATTGTTTATTTTTAGCAAGCACTAATTTTAAACATAAGGAGAGACATCGCCTAACATGGCGACCACCTGCACCAAACCAACGATGGACTCAAATAGACCATATTGTCATCAGTCATCGTTGGAGAGGCTCAATAGAAGATTGTCGCTCGTATTGGAATACTTGTTTAGACTCTGATCACGCTTTAATACGAGCGCGCATTTGTCTGCGCTTCAATGGACGCAGGAAAAGTACACTAAGAAGACCCATTAGGATTGAACTGGAGGACGAGAAAGCCAAATGCGAATTCCAGAAACAACTGAGTTCACATCTAGACAGTTATGTAAACAAGACTGACACAGATGCTGCTTGGAAAGACATACGAACAGCTGTGGAAACAGCAGTTACATCTATTAGTCATTTAAACCATAGGGCTCCAAAAAACCAGTGGATTTCTTCTAAGTCTATTTCACTGATGGGTTCGCGTAAACTCATCCCATCAGGCTCTGAACACGACGAAGAGCGTAAAGAAATTAGATATAGGTTAACTAAAAGTCTAAGGAACGATCGTGAGCAGTGGTGGGCAACGAAAGCAAAAGAGATGGAAAAGGCAGCGGCTGTAGGGAACACCAGGCAACTATTCAGACTAATAAAAGAAACCGGAATTAAGAAGTCAAGTGTAAGTGAGACAATCTCCGAAAAAGACGGAACCCTTATCTACTCTCAACCCAAACGTTTAGAACGATGGGCGGAACACTTTAAGGAGCAGTTTAGCTGGCCTTCAGCTACTGCACAACTACCCACTATTCCTAGAAAACCTGAATGGAACATTGAAGTAGGCCCCCCGACCCTAATTGAAGTTCAAAAGGCTGTAAGTAATCTGAAACGAGGAAGAGCAGCTGGTCCAGATGGATTGGCTCCAGAGGTCTTTAAATATGGTGGTCCGATTTTAGCGATTAGGTTGACTAATATTCTGGCTAAAATCTGGGAGACGGATGTATTCCCATCCGACTGGTCACAATCACTGATTGTCCCAATATATAAAAAGGGGTCAAAATCATCCTGCGATGACCATAGAGGGATTAGTCTGACCAACATAGCATCTAAAATACTAGCCTCAATAATTATCGGGCGCCTAACTAAGACTCGTGAACTGCAAACGCGAGAAAATCAGGCTGGCTTCAGACCTGGTCGTGGCTGTATCGACCACATATTCACCATTCGTCAAGTTTTAGAGCACAGACACGCTTATCGGCGTCCGACAATGATAGTTTTTCTTGACTTGAAAGCAGCATTTGACTCTGTAGACCGAGAGGTTCTGTGGCAGTGTCTGTCATTGAAAGGTGTACCTGAGAAGTGCATAAACCTTGTGAAGACTCTTTACTCGAACACTACCAGTCGAGTGAGAGCTTATGGCGAACTGTCATCTGATTTTACAACCTCAAGTGGTGTCCGTCAAGGCTGTCTACTATCCCCATTTTTGTTTAACTTCATTATAGACCTGTTGCTGGAAATAACACTCTCTTCGACTGAATTTACAGGAATTGATCTCCTACCAGGGGGACCACTAAGCGACTTAGAATACGCAGATGACATAGTCCTGTTTGGTGAAGACGCTGGCAAAATGCAGAGTCTTCTGTTGGAACTCAGTAATAATGCCAGGATGTTTGGGATGCGTTTCTCCCCATCCAAATGTAAATTGTTACTCCAGGACTGGCCTGTGTCAACACCCGAACTAAGGATAGGGAGTGAAGTAGTCGAACGCGTTGACAACTTCACTTATCTTGGAAGTCTGATCAGCCCTAATGGGTTGGTGTCTGACGAAATCTCATCACGGATTCGAAAAGCTCGTTTGGCTTTTGCCAACTTACGTCACCTATGGCGAAGACGAGATATCCGTCTATCAATTAAAGGACGAGTATACTGCGCATCAGTTCGCTCTGTTCTACTTTACGGTTGTGAAACATGGCCATTAAGAGTAGAAGATACTCGTAGGTTACTAGTATTTGACCACAGATGTCTTAGAAATGTTGCACGCATCTGCTGGGATCACCGGGTAAGTAATAGTGAGGTTAGATGCAGGGTATTAGGGAACGATGGTAAATCAGTTGATGAGGTGATGAATCTTCATCGACTGAGATGGTTGGGCCATGTGTTACGTATGCCTGAACACCGATTACCACGACGCGCTATGATGACTAGTGTAGGGGATTGTTGGAAGACAGTTAGGGGCGGCCAAACCAAAACATGGCATCAGTGTTTGAAGTCACTAACTTCTAGTCTGAGCCATGTTGGCAGATGCAGACTACCTGGTTGGGGTCCGCGTGACTATTGTAACCAATGGTTGGAGACTCTAGGTGACATGGCTCAGAATCGATCACAATGGCGTAGGTGTATACACTCTTTATCTTCCTTTAAACCTTGAAACTAAAATTGCTTCATATCTCTCTTCCTTCCTGTACTATATCCTTATATACAACCCATAATTTATATACTACTACCACCACTAAATTAATTACTTCTATGAACCCGGTGTTCATCTTGTTGTGCTAACGAGGTATGGCAACTTGGACCGATGCATAAATGTGCCTGGTCCTACGTTGTAGCTGACTGACTGACTGATGTGTAGAATTTTACAAATAGGTTTATTTATACAAGTAGTGATATCATTTAGTTTACTTAAGCCTACGTGTAGAATAAAAGGAGTGCCTGTCTAATTTGGTAATCAACGTGTTATTGGTTGCCTATGAGGACACTAATTCTTATTCTTAAGTAATATTGCTGTTAATCTACATTTAATGCAAGTCAGCTTTCATAAGTCCACTTTAGCTCCCATTTAACACCATCACACATAAATCTTGAATTATAAGTGTTCTGCTTCGTTTGTTTGTCTATTGCTTATTAAAAGAGGTATAAGAGCTGATAAGTAAACTTCTAAAGACATTCTATTATTTAAAACATTCGTCCAGAAAATATAGTTGATTTGCGCTAGTTCTCCATTTTAAATTCAATGTAATTGAGAAGACCATGTGAGATGCGCTTAACTAGGTTACTTAAATAATCTATCTGACCCTTCATAACGAGGAAATGTTATGAATATATCTTGTATAAAAACCCATCCTACTAATTTCAAATATCACTAGTTCTACCTCCAATCTCGGGACAGATGTGTTGATGAGTAATGGTCTTGATGTCTCACTCATAGTCTGTGTATTATTAATCGTTAAATGTACTTAAGATGCTTTTAGTGCATTAACTTAACAAGGTTTTCGGCTGAATTCTAGGTATAAAGCTACCTCCTGAGTATTGACTGATATCTATCATTACTTCCAAAAGAATATTCACAGGGATATCTTTGATTAGTGATGTGTTAGCAGTTTAGTAACCTTTCAACCTAGTCAAATATCTACAAGTTAGCTCTAGTTTCTAATTGGTAACCAACGGCTGAGTTTACATATGGCTAAATTTATTGATCTCAAGGACATGTTGAATTTAGTTTCGCTTCGACCGATATTCGTCCGATAGTTTTAGATCATTACACATAGTCCTACTAATTATGCTCAGTTTCCAAACTTCTTTACTGCCTAACATTTTAAGCATACAGTTATTTGAATTTACATGCGTATATTTAAATTGATCTTGTAGAATCAGTATATCTTTGTGTGTAACTCTTTCATCATCTTGCTTTTAAATAAATAGTTTTATTATCAATTTTATTTAGCTTGCCAAATAATGCTGACCAAAGAACTAAATGGGATGACAATCACTTTACCAAAGGCTACACGAAATTTCTATGTCGATGGACATATTCCACAGCCTCATTAATTGTCATCATCTTAAGATAACTTTATGTATATTGTATATAGTAGTACCATCATAGGAATTAAATAAAAGAAACATTATTTTCTGCAACTTGTTTCTTCTGCATTTCACTGTAATAGTCAATTTTCAATTGGCATGTTGATATTTTTCATTGTTATATTTTTTTGGTTCCGTTATCGTAAATTTATTGATATACCACATTTCAATCTGATTTATTACACCATCTGTTTATTACGAAAGCATGTTATTTAATTCAGCCTTATTTAACTTAATTTTTTCATTAGCAGAGCATATATGTACAACTCCATCATACTCCTAAAAAACGAATCACTGATTCATTTAGATAGCTGCATAGTGTTTATTCAAATTCGTGACGGATAATCATGGGTTTATCTTACGATTGTTTCGAAAAATTAATGTCCAAATGCATTATACAACGTAATGGTCGTTATTTGTACCATTCAAATAATAAGATATGGTATCCATATTAAGTTAACTTAGGAAATAGGTTAGTATCTACACTGGACCTGAAATGAAGTATTTAGAAAATGAAGATGTTGATTCATAGATGTACTCTTACAGAACAAACTCTCAGTCAGTCAAACACAACGTGGAACCTGGAACATTTATACATCTGTCTAAGTTCCCATGTTCCATTAGCACAGCGAGATGAAATTGTCAGAGATCCCAGAGTAGTAGATATAATAACCGTTTTAATAGTAACAAAATGAATTAGGCATCGAACATACAATTCTAAAAGAAAATCTAAATCGGTAAAATAACAGAAAAGATTTGTGAGGGATTTAAAAACTCATGATTAAGGGAAGACAAAAAGTGAGTGCATCTGCGCCATTGAGAATAGTGTTAAGCGATGTAACCAGAAGTCTAACTATTGGTAACGATGATCATGCGGACCCCAACTAGGTCGTCTCCTCCTACCTACATGTTTCAGTCTAATACTCAGTGTCTTCATGGACTGATACCATGCCTTCGTCTGGTCACTCATAGCTTTCTTCCAACCTACTCCCTTATCAGTAATCACTGCGCATCAAGATGGTCGGTGGTTGAGCTTAAGTAATACATGTCTTAACCATCTCAGTCGATGAAGACACTACTTCTTCAACCGATTTGTCATCCTTGCCTGATACTCTGCATGTAACTACAGAATCACTAACTTGATAGTCCCAAAATATGCTAGCAATACTTCGAAGACATCTATTACTGAATACTAGTAACCTACAAATATCCTCTATTTTTGATGACCATGTTTCACTCCTACTAAAAAACGGAGCTAACTGTTGTGCAGTAAACTCATTTTTTTAGTTAATAAGCGGATATCTTTTCTACTCCATAAGTGACGTAAGTTGGCAAAAGTCAACTGGGCTTTCTGAATTCGTCCCGAGATTTTGTTAGACATCCACCAACCAGGCCTGATGAAACTTCCAAGAACAAACCATGCTACTGAAACTGGACGTTATTGTATGCACTTAAATTATAAAATATTATTACTCTTTTGGTAATGCAATGATTCTTGACTGAACAAGGTCCACATTCTAGGCGAAGCTAAGATAAATAAAAGTCATCAACCTACCTACTTAGATGAGTAGTTCGTGCTTCCGTGACAAACATGTTTAAAAAGCATTTGTGGGTATTGTCATCAATGAAGTGGATTTCATCAAGATGATCTTTCATATTCTAACTATTTGATAAGTACCTTAGAGCAATAGTGTTTAGTTTGGAAATATAAATACTACTAAATTTTGAGCTTCACCAACAGATCATCACCTCTTAAGAACTCGGACATAAAGTGAAACCTGGGGAAAATACCTATCGGTTCAAGTTGACACATTACTGCCTAACGGAATGAGATTAACACTATGAATAGTGAAGGTACTAACATAATAGCAGTTCTAATGTTAGTAAGAAGGACTAAACGTAGAGATTGTACGCTTTTATAGGATATATGGATTGTGGCTAACAGTGGGAATCAGGATGCGCATCCTCTTTTATTTGCCACTCGTCAGTTGGATGTACTTGTATCTCAGTGTTGATATTCCTGTTGAGACAGGAATTGAATTCCTTTCACTATACATCTGTCGCGACAATACTCTCAGGAAGCATATATGCCAGAAAAGATTGGTCAAAATTCAGTCTTGAATATAAACATAGGAATATTCAAATCCTTATTAGTAATAGTATATTGTATACAGTTCAAAAATAAATGAAATTAAATTAAAGAGTATAAAACTCAAGCTTTGGAGAAAACTAAAGAATGAGTACATCTGACATATCTGCCGTATTACTTACCTTCCAATCTGCTATCGCATCTTATTTACGTAGATTAATCACTGAATGGTAATCCATGTAATGCTTGTCTACTCCTTAATACTAATTACATTTTACCTATCAGTCTGTCTCTAATTGTGGCATTGAGTGCTGTGATTTCTTGTCTCACAGAGTGCATCAGTTTACTAACTATTACAGATACCCCTTGTTCATGAGTCCCAGTTTGCTGGAAACTTAGTGATTTTGTTGTAATTTTCTCCAACCACCTGATGTTGGATTTTTTTGTTTTCTCAGCAATAGCTTCTTTTGCGAATTTGCAAGCTTAAAGAAAAACCAAATAGTCGTTAAGCCTTCACATACTTTTAATATTTTTTATTAGATCAATAACATTAACAAGTGGAGAAAAGAAATTCATTTTACTTTGCTGGGTTTCACTCAGCTGCAAACAATTCAAGTTACAGTGAATAAGGTTTCAAAAAAGGTTATTAGTGCTTCATTTAATAGAGTCAAGATGTATTTTTGAAACCCGATAGAAAACCTGACTATGTTTATCCACAACGTTTTCGATGTTCACTAAATACATCGTACCCAGTGCTTTCAATCATTTTTTCTATCCACTTGCTGAGTGCTATACGTTAAGGTATAGTCCCCTTCGAACAGTTCCTTCCAAACAGATATAATTATCAATAAATTCACGAACCGATCTAAGTTAGACCACTATTGAAAACCTGAAAGCTCTGGACGGCCGTTTAGTCCTGGTGTGAGACTCTTCAGCAATGCACATCCAAGACCCCACGCGTGAATGCTTAACCTCTAGACTGCCGAACCTGTTTCCAACAGTGAGATTCGTGCACCCAAGAGAGTATAACTTCAGTGAAAGTTTGGACTTAAAATTTACATTCCTAACCTTTAGTACTTACCCATTAGATGAACGAAATTACTGAAACTGCTGAATACAACACAGTAAAATTTGAGGACGTTCTTGACAAACCAAGCCGAAAATTTCTCAAGTGAACACCTAATATATTATTAATGGTAGTTTGAACCAATACTTAGTATACTGAAAACTTATACAAAATATTGAAGGGTAGATTACAAGTAGTAATACTAATAATAGAAATAACCGGTTACACAGTTGAACAACATAATTGGGTTAAAATTAACCCAGTTAGAGAAAAGAAATGAAATTAATACCAACAGAATGTATACCGGTGCTCTGAATACGCATTTAAGAGACTACTTTTCATATCATACGGACTCGATTATTAGGTTAGTTCTTATAATCTCGTTATTACTTAACCATAATGCTGCTTGAACTACCTTTAAATGCATTTCTACTGTTTAAAAATTTCACGAAAGATTTCGAGTTCGTTTTCGTTTATTATTTTCAGCATATTTTTGTCATTTTATTCGGAATAATGGACTTTTTCTTAGCTATAAAACTTTTTCAGTATCATGTTAAAATGTCAATACTGTTTCAATTGAACATGTGTCATAGTTTGCATCACGAACTGACCTTAATTAGACAACCAGTGAAAACCAGGAAATACTCGGTAGCTGTTTCGTCCTAGTATTGAGACTCCTCGACGGCACGCATTCGCTACCCCATTGAGGGTCGGGCCCGAAACCTCCATGCCTCACGCTAAGCGTATTAGCTCTTAGGCCACGAAGCCAACAATCCCCATGTCTAATCTCAATCAACAGCAATCTATCAGTTATTTGAGATAAATGTGTTCTACTAGTTATATTTTTAGATGGAATTTCAGTCTTCTTGTTCATGAAAAGACCTAAGGTAATATTACTTTACTCATCTACTTCTGTACTTATAGATGAATTACTGAAAGAAATTGTCGAGAAGTAATTTTAGCTTATTTAGCCTATAGTTTGTAGACAGTATGACTCATGATTCGACTCCGAGTACATATGCTTAACTCGATTTGTATTTTACGGCACTATTCCTGACCCTTATTTAAAAATACGTAGCTCAAAGCTGACTATGTACAACTATATTTGAGACAATTGATTAACAATGAAATCAAACTAGGTACATATAACTACTAGTCTTACTAATCAACTTCCATTGATATATCTACTTTTGGAAAGTTCTTCAACGACTCAGTTTGCATTCTGAGCTGTGACTCAGTGGTTAAAGCACCCCACTCTGCCTACTCCTTTCTAGTCAACTTGATAGTATCATAAGCTCCCACAATTGGAATGTGGCTTATACCTAAATACCTGATAAATGAGTTAATTTTGGTGAATAATTTTTCTGGTTAGCGTTTTATTTAGCGAGTTGGTTTTCTACGGGATGGGGTCGTTTGAATTTATAGACCAATATTTTCATTTACAATTCTGTTTAGTTTTGAATTATGTCTTAAATAGTCCTATGATCATTTCCTCTTTGAGTTTTAACTACTAACAATGTAGAAGCTTAGTGTTTGATGTTAAATAATTGAAAGTAATTGACAAAAATCTTCATACCCAAGTTCCCTCTTCCTAGTTGGGTTTTGTTAGAAAAGGTGTATTTTGCTGACCAGTTTACCAGTTAGCCCGAAACCCAGATATATAGAAACTGCTACTAACTGCATACAATAACCTAAATTCAGACAAAATCCTAATCCAGTGTTGAACTACTTAGATTTCACTACAACTTGTCAAATATTATCCAGTCATCACTAAAAAATACATTAATCCATCAGACTGTTGACTGTTTAACTTAATTATCTTGATAGCCATTTAATTTTTAATTAAATTCTATGGAATAAATTAAAACCATTGGATAGAGAAGATGGATAATGCCTAGCAATGGAATCCAGTTTGACACGCGTTTCATCCTATTTAGGACTCGTCAGCTGGATGTACCTGCATCTCAGAGTTGATATTCACTCTGAGACTCGAATCCAGTACCTTTCGCTTCAAACGCCACCGTGTTATCCACTCAGCTACTGAGTCCTGATAACCACCTGCTTGTGCAATGAGGTGAAGTTTGAATTCACTTAGTATTGACTAGAGAGTTTAGCTGAAAAGAAAAAAGGAAAGACATCTTATCATATTACTAATAATTACATTATTTATCTTTTTTTTTCTTTCTTTTATTGATTTCAGTTTTATCATTCATGGTACCAGTATAATGGATACTGATATTGATCATCATCATATTAAATCAACTGAATCAAATCATGTTAGTACATTATGGACAAAATTAATTTCTATGGAATTAAATTATATACATAAGAATCGTCAATTATCTTTACATTTATTAAATAAGCAAATTGATCATTCAAATAAAATTAAAAAATTAGCTATACAAGCTAATTCTACTGAATTATCCGCTTCATTTTATTATAGAATTGTTAATTATATTAATGAGAATGCAACAAGTGATTTACGTCGTATCATACCTTTTATAAATGAATTTAATATGGGAAATATTTGTATGAAAAGTAGTAAGAAAGCACAATATTATAGGAAATTAGGAAATGATTACTTCAAGTATGTTTCTTATCTTAATTGATATGTATATTATTTATTTATTTATTTAAACACATAAACATTGGTACAAGGAGGCACCAAACAGAGGGTTAAGATACTTCCCGGTTGCCTAAACGGAAGCGGGTGGTTTTTTTTTACGGGATCACATCACACCATAACCTACGAGTCTAATCCAAAAGGCAGTGGAGCACCAAATACTGACGTTGATCATGAAAGTGGATTAACGGGTTTGAAAGCGACTCAGCAGCAAACTGGGTTTACATTTAGCTCCGCCAAAAATACCGGTAGACGGTGATCCGAACATAAGACCTGTACCGGTCATTGTCTGAGTCACAAAAAGCGAAGGCTTGGCAGCAGATGATGCTGGATTTGACTGACCAAAAAGCTAGTGGACGTGTCTAATCCAGTGACCTGTTGCTGTGGTCGGCCAAATGAAAATCCAGTATTCTCAAGTTGTGGTGTGGCTTGCGCGGTTCCAAAAAGATAAGTATCAGTACCAGCAGCTGAAGTGGTGCCAAACAAGTGTTTCGCACCAAAAACAGAAGTTATTTGATTTGTTCGACCAAAGGCAAGCTCAGTTGATTGAGACGCGTTGGTCGAGCCAAATATACTTGGAGTAGTTGCAGCGCCGAATTGAGGTTTCAAACCCAAAAGACCTCCTTGGGAACTTTGTCCAAAAGCTGGTTGAGTCCCTGTACCTCCAAAAAGCAGCGTCATGTAATAGTGTAGATTAAGACAATGGGCAGAAGAAACGAATAAATGTTTATTGTGAGAAATCATAAAGTGTTTACGTAATATATAACTGACTATCCATTTGCATCTTGCGGTGTCCCAGTTAATCCCTTAAAGATGTAATTATATACTGAAATATTTATTTATTAAAACACATAAACTTTGGCACTAGGAGGCACCAAACAGATATGCGCCACACAAAAAACTGTCATTTCATTTTATTTGTGTGAGGGCTATGATACTGCTCAGGTGTACAGACCGAATCAGGTGGTTTTCTTATGGGGCCACACCCCGAGCCCTTGACCTAAAGGTCTTATCAACAAGGCGATGGAGCATCGTAAGGAGATACAGTCCCATGGTAGCTGGTGAACGATGATTGGTTCATACGCCATTTGTTCCCTCAGGATCCTGGAACCCATGTGCACCATTGCTTTGGAATTAGGGTTTCCCAACTCCTTTAGGTAGACTCACCGTGTTCACTGGCCCGGTCAAAGCACCGTATATTCGCTTTTTATCCTCTCAATTTCGTAAACAACACCCCTAGTGTGAGAAAGTAGTGAGTAGAACTTTCCTGGTAGTATTTGTATGCACGTGACCATGTGAGAATATTTTGAGAGGGAGAGCTCTCCCTCTCCATACTCTCAGCCATAGCAGGGCATTCGGGGGACCTACATGTTTTGTGAAGCAAAGTCTAATTTTTAGAATTAAATAAACTGAATTAATCCAACCACTATCTTCTAGGTACAAACGAATTCGAGTGTACAGAAGATTATAAAAATAAACCGAAAGTGTGAAAACTTGTTTAGTTGAATGAGCTGAATATATCAGATGTTTGCTGTTGTTGGAAAGAAAGTTGTAAAACTGTTAATAAAATGTATTGTGATAGCATAGCTAATTTGTAGAGATATTAACATTCAACTACTGTACTACGAATGCAAACATCGCTCCACTTTGTTTTGAGTAGCGTTGTTGTTTCTCCAGCTTTTAAACAAACCTGATCTTGGTTGTTAAATTACATAGAAAATTTCAGGAATATAAGGAAATGTTCTGTACTGGACTAAGATAATAAGAGTTAAGTAAGTTTAAATCATTGAAAGAAAAGAAAATACCACGTCAATACAACTAGGTGAACGTAAATATCACTAAAATGTTTGGTTAGTGACTTTATTTCCCTATATAAAAGTCATGTTATGTAACTGGCTTTTTTTGAAATGTAAGTGTGACATTTCCAGTTAGTCACTATCAACTTATAATCTGAGACAGATGTGCACCGGCTCACGTTACCATACTACGTTAGCACAACTAGATAAAAATGGAAACTTAGATGGTTAAAGAGGTTAAAATAATTTAGTGTCATTAACAGTGAGAACGTAACAATATGCATAAGATTCGAAAAGACAGAATGGAAAGGTTTGTATGAAAGAACACTGGAATTCCTAATGGAAAGATAAATAGTGAGTGTATCTGCCCTATGGTGAGCGATTCTGATCCAAATCACCCAGTCTTCAAGCAGACTCCAACAAGGTAATCTACATTTACCAACTTGGTTCATACCAACTGTTATTGACTTCATCTACTGATGTCATATCTTGGTTCGGTCACTTCTAGTTTTCTTCCAACCTACTGTTTCATCAACAACACAGATCTCATTTCCACCTTTCTTGTTATTCATCAAATTATTACTGATTTTGAAATTCAAGTGTGATATTTCCAGTCCATTACTATCATTTTATATATATAATACGTATCTTTTGATATCTTATTTCTAAATTTCCAGGCAAGGCAACTTAAATGCTTCAGCAACAGCTTATCGAACTGGTTTACTTCATGCACCTAATGCATATTTCATGTCATCAACTAGTCAAAATGATGAATTTTGTTTAGAAGGTGCATTGTTACACGGTAATTTATCTTCTGTACTTGCACATCAACAATTATGGTCATCTTGTTTAGAAGCTGTACTAACCGCATTGGAATTACACTTGAATGTGACAAATATTCAGAACTGTAGTAATAATTCATCAATAATCCGCTTAAAAACTCGTTTCAATCAATGTTGTAACCATTTAAATTTACCTACCCTTATTGATTGGAACTCTACACTTACATCGCACAAATTACTGGAAATTCATACCAAGCTCATTTCTCTACTTATTAATCAGAATAAAAACAGTGTAAAAAATCATTGGGATATCCCAACACCAAAATACGATCATAATCCTTTGGTAAGTTTTAAAATGTTTTAGTCTATTTAGTAAAAAATTAGTGGTTTAATAATTTAGTCTATTGTTCAAGTATATTTATTAACTCGATAGTCACATCATACACCACAACGGGTAAATTTAACATGATAGACAGTAAAATAACCCAATATAATCAGTAAATCAGTGATAGTAGGAAATAGTAAACCTAAAGACAATGTTGAGTGTATTTGTCGCGGATTTATTTCAGTTGAGATACCATTAGAAATCAGGGTAACTAAATAGCTGTTCCGTTCTAACATGGAACTTTTCAGCAGTGCATACCCAAGACCTCACCAGTGATAAAATCCAGATCTTTCAGCGATAGCTTAACCTTAGTGTGATTCAGAAAGGAAGGAACGACTTCACGAAATAAAAGTACTGGAATGGTACTGGGACACGAATATCTAGGGGATGATGAGGAATGATTTTATGAGACTCTAATATGACGTTGTGACATTGGATAAGAATTGCACTTTACTAGAATGTAATCGAATTTGGAAAACGGAGATAATTTTATTTGACTCATGATATCTAAGTGCATCGTACTCGGCAAGTAACTTGAAGAATAATGAGTTGTATCTTGTGTTTTCGGGGTGAATTTATACAACTGACAAGTCCCTAAACAGAATGAAATTCATACTCAATGCTCTGAGACTTAGTTCTCACTGAGACCATAGTTGGTATCGGTTTTTAAACGTTAATATAGCTACTCAGTAATCAATCAATGTAAACATCTTAGTCTTACTAAGAGTCAGTTACGGCATGAATGGTTCAATGATAATATCTCAGACTGTGAATCTAGACGATAGGTTCGGAACTCACGAGGAAAACCAGTTCCCTCAAGATTTTAGGTTCGCCTTGGTGACAAGCGCTTACTAGCACAAAGCCTAGATTCATGGTTTCTTGCCAACTAACTCTAACCAAATAAGATATCAAAATATTATATTCGATATCAAATCACATAGACTAGTGACAGTCACATTTCAATTTGATCGATTGAATTCGATCACAACTAAGAGGATTAGGTAAACATAACATTGGTCACTATTACTTAGTGATGAATCAATATAGTTAAAGCCAACTACAAATCTCTTGTTCTATACATCTTTATTATTATTATTATTATTATTATTATTATTATTATTATTATTATTATTATTATTATTATAGTACCATGGGCTTTCAAACGGTGTACGTATTGATACAAATCATGAAAAAGGCAGACATGTCATCGCTACTAAATCCTTTGAACCAGGCGATATTATAGCGGTTGAACCTGCTGGTGGATGGGCAGCAAATAGAAATGCACACTCCTACCATAGTAATAATAATGATCGCAACACATTTGAATATTTATTACTTCTACCATCACAACGTATGAACCAATGTTTGAAATGCTTTAATCAATTAAACTCCATTGGTTTCGTCTGTCCATACTGCTGTGATGCTGCATATTGCGAATTGTCGAATAGGACTAGTTGTAATTCTTATTGCGCAGAAATTTCAAATCCCTCAAACTTATTTCGTGATTTTCAGCAACCAGTTTGGCATCTGGCAGAATGTCGGTAAGCTGTGTTTGCGCGTCTTGTTTTACCTTGTAAGTGATCTTGTTGGATTGATTAGAATAACTCCTCCAAAGTCGATTAAAGTCAGAAGACTATATTGGATTCTCAGGAATATATATAGCAACAGTCAAAAAGGACTAATTGATTAATCATCAGTTTAATATGACAGGACAAATAAAGTGTATCCAATAAAATATAGAAAAGAAATTATGCGACAAGAAAACTAGTTACTCATAAGTAATACAGTCATAATACACATATCTTACAGGCGACTTGATAAAAAGGGGTCGGAGAATTAGTCTGAGTTATTATTCCTATTATCAAAAATATGAACGTTCTCCTAGTGCTTAAACCTTTCTAACATTCAACTATTTGGTCACAGACCATTATGTCACTCCACTTAATTTGGTTTAGGCAGTCAATTAGTATCACTGGCATTTACATTATGAATTGTCTTTTTATTAAGTCTGCAACATTCAGAATAAGCAACTTTGTTCTCAATACGACGAGGATACTAGTATATGGTCTAAGTTGGTGTTCATCTTTCAAAAACCTTTCGTGCATGAAGTTTAATCGTCTTCTGCTTCTCGTTTATTCTTTGATAATGAGTATCAGTCTGTTCATCAGAGTAACGAAGGCACTTGATAGTGGCCGTTGTATAGTATCATACATCTATCAGTAGTTTATAGAATCTACTTATCACATGTTGACATTTCAGTCTCTTTAGAGTGTTGGTTTTCTGGGAACTCAAGCTCAAACATTTTGGTGATGTTGACTTCGATAGATTTGTTTGTTTCCAAATAATTTATAATGATTATCTTATTCACTTGAGTATTTGATTTCGATAACACCTATCCAAGTATGGTCAACGATATATAGGGTCGTTTAAATCCTTCTATGTGTTGGTATGAAACACATTGGGCTTCTAAGATGTCATTCCCAATTAATAACCCTACTCAGTCTCAGACTATGGTATGCAGTCGTACTCCCTTCAGACACCTCAATTATTCCTCAGCTTCAGCGAATGGGAGTCTTGAGAATGGAGTATGATGTAAGTACAGTGAAGTGTAGCTTCATCTTAGGTAAATCTAGAATAGTTCCATTAAAGTTTATGAATATCGTGCGCCTTGAATCTCAGTTTGCAGTAATTCTGGTGCAGCTGATAAGACAAATAGTGGAAGAAATAATACTCAAGGAAGATATGACTGAGATCTGTTAACGGAATTAAATAGTATCATGTGTATAAGACTACTATCTTTGGAATTAAGGCTAGTACCATCGAAAACATAATTCAAAGAGGTAGATGAGGTTATCCTAGGGAGCTTGCATTTTTGAGGTCCTGACGGATATAGTTCTATGTTGTTTCCATTTCTATTGATTTATCTGAACCTTTTCATTATCGATCTACGGTATCAAGGATCTAATGATCGAATTGAGTACTGCGGTGATAAAGATTCCAATTCTCGGCTGAGTTGAGAACTTCCAAAATTATAAGGTTCGTAGAAATAATTTCCTTCATGAGAGAAACTGGTTATAACAATATTGTGTCACGAAATGTCAGAAAATCTAATTTTTCTACTCATTGAGATATTACAAATATATATTGATTTATTTATTTATAACAATCTACCCAATGCTCAATTTATTCAAAATTATCAAATCAAAACTTGGTAATGATACCTACATTAAAATAGTTTTGTTCTAGTATGGGACTCCGGCAGTGAGCGTCCACGATCCAGCCAGAGATCAAACCCAAAACTCTCAGGCCTCGTGGTTGGCATTTAACCTTCACACCACTGAGCCAGAATCCAATGATTTACCTTCCTAATTTCAATCAATTAACGATATTGCTTATCCATCTTCGAATGATATTGGTGGGTAACTACCTCACACCTGAAATAGTTGAACTCCGCCGCTCATGGGTTAAAGTTAAAAGTGTAAACTAAGAGATACTAACTTTCGGATTTCAAAACTAAGTTCCCGCTGAGATACCTGAAGTTCCTGGATTCCATTCTCGATAGGCTTGTGTATGTTCACTGCTGAGGAGCTTCATACTGGGACGAAACTACTGTCGTTCCATCTGCAGTCTCAATTTATGTTGTTCAAAGATAAGTTAACCTCTTTTTATCACGCTTTTTTGTTCTTCGCATTATTTACAAATTTCCTAGATTTATGTTTCTTTTAAATTCCATGGGATTGGGTCATTTGTGCTTTCGTCTAGCATGGCTTCGTCAGCACTATCACCATCCATCTGCCAACGAAAATATTGATAATAATCCATATTTTACTACTGATCAATTAGTTGAACATTTTACAAACTTTCACGTTGATGAACTATTCGAATATGCGCTTACTGGTTGGTTAATATCGAAAATTTTAAACTGTAGCAGTAATAATGACAATAATAAAACAAATTTGGAATCAACTAACAATGAATTGATCCAAGGTCTCTGGTGTTTCGACACGTTAAGACGTCTTCAGTGTAATGCACACGCTATCACTGAAATTGAAGTCAATGATTCTGATATTCAAACATGGTTTCCTTCGGATCAAATAAATGTTAATGATATCAATGATCTAAAATTAATTTATCCTTTTATTTGCAAATTTCAACAAATTCGCATTGCAACTGGCCTTTTTCCATGTGTTAGCCTATTAAATCATTCATGCGATCCGAATACAGCCCATAATTTTGAAGTTAGTCAATAACATATTCCATTTTCGTAGAATTAAATTAGTTGAATTCTTTATGAATCTATGACCACATCTTTAATCCCAGGATAATTCTCTTCATGCACTAACATTGGTTAAATGGTAGCCAAAACTTTATGTTATGAGATGCCATACTATAATACACTACAAGAGAGGGGTCATTAACGGTCTCAGTAGTGGTAAAATCTTAGTCTACGAAGCTTGGTTCGAATCCCATAGGTAGTATCAATAAACTTGAGACCACATATGCGTCTTGCTGTAAGTGCCCATTAGCATTATACATAATTCAAACAGGGTCTCATATCGATTACTACTTCCAAGCGCATAAAACACCGCTAACACATATTTAAAGTTGTATATCTTCCGTTATTCAGATTTCAATTGAATCTTCAAGTTGGAACAAAATAAAAAAGGTCTTTTGAACTTACACAGTGTAATTTTAATATATGATCATCCTCATTTCAATATTCAAGTATATTACATCTGAATAAAGATTTTGATATACATCTCAAACTTGTCCCAGTTAATCCCTTAAAGATGTAATTATATACTGAAATATCTATTTATTTATTTGAGCACATAAATATTGGTACAAAGAAGCACCGAATATATATGCGCGCACAAATCTCATTTGATTCGTGTGAGGGCTGTGATACTGCACAGGTGCCCAAACTGAAGCAGGTGGTTTTCTTAGGGGGCCACATCCCAAGCCTTTGACCTAAAGATCTGATCCACAAGGCAGTGGAGCATCGTGAGGAGATGCAGTCCCATGGTAGCTGGTGATCGATGATTGGTTCATACGCCATTTGTTCCTTCAGAATACTGGAACCCATGTGCACCATTGGTTTAGAATTGTGGTTTTCCAACTTCCCTAGGTGAACTTTCCGTGTCCGCTGGCCCGGTTAAAACACCACATATTCGCTTTTTGTCCTCTCAATTTCGTAAACAACAAGGTAGCGAGTAGGACTCCTCTGGCAGTAACTGTATACGCGAGGCCATGTGGGAGTATTTCGCGAGAGAGGGCGGGCCCTCAACACTCTTGGCCATGCCAGGGCATTTAGGGGCTATATACTGAAAGATGGTTCTCATCACTGAACGACAACACTGAATAATTGTTTTAAACTAGTCTATGATCTGTAGTCAATATGATAATTCGCTAAAAAAATTATTCTAATGTAACTTTCTTACTGAATATTGGTTAATGCACTCGGCTATTTGATATTTAATGATACTGGTACCCGATTACTTAAAATAGATATGGATATCAGTGGAATTTCGGTTGCTGGATCATAGTTTCAGAATCAAGTTCTTTACCTAATAATCCATTCTTTCACTTTGTCTAACATTAAATTTCGCTTAAAAATATTAGAAATACTAGACTTCTTTATGGAAAATATATATAATCAAGAAAAAAATAATTAATTTCCCTTATGAATGCATTATTTATTGAGGATCTGGCCAAATTTTCCGAGGGATGCACCTATATTAATGAATGATTTTGTGCATATATTTTGATTCCAGTTAATCAAGTAAAACTTTCTACTGAAGGTTGGTTTTTTCAATCAAGTTGCTAGGAAGCATATATATCAGTAACAGACTCAGAAAACCACCTAACACAATAAAGATTAAATGAACTTCCTGAACTACAGATATTCTTCACCACCTCAGAATTACCGACACCATATTTACTTATTGCCCCCAAATGCCCTGATACGGCCGAGACTGGGGAGAGTCTGCTCTCCCTCTCGAAATGCTCTCATATATGGCCACGCGAATGTATAGCCTCTGCCAGGGAAGTCCTACTCACTGCCTTCTCGTGGTGGGGGTGTTGTTCACAAAAGTGAGAGGACGAAAAGAGAATGTCCGGCGCTTTAACCGGGTTGGTGGACACGGAGGGTCCACCTAGGGGAGTTGGAAAACCATGATTCCAAACCAATGGTGCACATGGGCTCCATTATCCTGATGGAACGAATGGTGTATGAACCAACTGTTGGTCACCGGCTACCATGGGACTGCATCTCCTCACGATGCTCCACTGCCTTGTGGATCAGATCTTTAGGTCAAAGGCTTGGGATGTGGCCCCCTAAGAAAACCACTTGCTTCAGTTTGGGCACCTGTGCAGTATCACAGCCCTCACACGAATCAAATCAGATTTGTGCGCGCATATTTATCTGGTGCTTCCTTGTACCAATATTTATGTGTTTAAATAAAATAATAAAATAAAAAATATTTACTTACTAACCGATTGCATAAAATATTAACCAATAGCAGGTTGCCTACTCGTTTGTGTTGTTGACTTATTGCTTACAATGAAGTTAGAATGAGGCTAATAGATAAAATGACTCACTTTTTGGATTGAATCAAGTTTCCACATTATGTGTGGCTAGAGGAAATTATTTGAAGATATTAAACTCATGCTCCACTCGAGTTATTACTTGTGTCACCAAAGCATATATCTACAATATTGACGAATTCGAGGCTATTTCATACAGTATCACATTCGCATCACAATAATGTTTTTTTTATAGAAAGCGATGTATTAGAATATCAAATGAGCACATATGATAGGCGATAATTTTTTCCAAAAAGCCATCGTTAATTCGCATTGCGCTTACTTCCTCTAAAATAAGAATTGTATAGAGTAGTTCACTTGAAACTTAACTTATTGAGCGTAGCATTACATTTTCCTGGTACAGATTGATATATCTGATATTCAAATGCTTGATATTTACTTTCTTATCAGTTCATAGATCCCCCAAATACTCACCGATTTGAGTCGTAGATAGTAGAGAAAAGGTGCAAACTAAGAGTGGAAACTTTACTTCAAGGTTCATTCATGGAACGAAGACAAATGTATTTCTAGGGTTTTTTATTACTTTCAAGCTATGGAAACATGCTAAATTAATCAACAGAGTAAATAATTATTCAGTCAAAGTTTAACACATAATCCATCAACTTTATAGAAATCTATCTATATTGAACAAAAATTTCCTCAACCTTTTCCTGGCTTCTTAAAACCTCATCACAGAATCCCCCTAGAATTCCAATACAAATCAGATCCAATCTTAAATGACTGGTAGTTCAGTTTCCCTCTGTAGTCTTTTATTGGACTCGAAAAAAAGTGTTACAGATATATATGCAAGCAATCGATATTCACAATTCTACATTCTCAAGCCTATCTTATCTAATTGAGCGATAAAAGTTTCTTCATTACTTTTCTAATCTACTTACTCTTTGTCTTCTCCTTGATTTTGAGCCGACTTCTACTACTATTGTGAAATGTGTCCCGATAGTTCTATCTCGTTGTACTGATTTGGTTGCAGCTACTTGAACCAATGCACATATGTCTCAGATCCGATATTGCTCATAACTGACTGGGCCACTAATAATTAGTATTTCTTCATTAATACAGTGCTCAGGAACTAAACGTTAAAATATTTATTTAAGTGAAATCATAAGCCAAAATAAGTTGGACCACCATCGAAAACCTGGGATCGCTGGACCTCAGTTTCTTTCTAGTATGGGACTCCTCAGCGGTGTGCATCCATGGCTCCGCACGCAGGGACCAAACCCAGGACCTGCACGGACCCTTGACCTTCAGATCACTGAGTCGGTATGAAACGCTTCGATTTCTGCATGCAGGGTCGTGTATGCGTGCTGCTGAGGAGTCCCATACTAGAACGAAACGGCCCTTCAGTGTTTCTGGGTTTTCATTGATGTTTTAACCTTGGTCGTGTGATGATTTTGGTAAAATTTAATGATCTCCACAACCCCATACCGACTGTTTCTTTCAATATGAGGGAAGATTTGTGGAGGTTGTTCACCTTGAAAATGTTTGCGCTATAAATTAACTTTAGCTAGACTATCGTGAAGCAACTGACAGTTATCGAAACATAGTATCCAATCCTTCAACACCTAATACCCTCTAGAATGTTTAGACTACATGGTATGTCAATTTTAGACGACCATTGAGTTGACATTCAGTGTCTGTAATTTCCACTTCAGCCAATTTTAATAGTTGATGATAAAACTATTTCACAGATCAGATCAGAATTAGCCTGGGAATAGTCAACTGTTAAAATTCTTATCTATGTAGAAGTGTTTACACTTTTCGTATTCTATGCTTTTTTTGCAGTCAATTTCGTCATTTTTTGTAGAGATTATCACGTTGAACTTTTCTCATTCGTTGAAGCTATAGATGGTTATGTGTGTGTACAATAGCTATAAATATAATTGTAAAATGTTATTCTTTGATATTGTTAAAAGAATCATACAGTTTGCCAGTTGCGTCGAAACTCTAAATTATCGTAATAATTAATTCTACTCAACGCCAGTATGTTCGTGGAGATAACTATATCACCTAAAACCGGCGACCGGAACAAAAGTCAGCAACACAACAACAGGACAAGCTAAGCTTTTCCACTGCACCCCAGTCCTGCTAACTAGAGAAAGAAAACAAGATTCAGTCGGGAAAATATAGATTCCACGGGCAGCCCGGAAGCACAAGCAAACAAGCACACAACTCATGCGTATACCTACAGCACAAAAATGTCCTTGAAAAACGTCACAAAGTAGCGTACTAATAGGGGAAAGAAATAATTGACATTTAAAGTCCTTCCAAATGGGAAATACAAATTTAATCAAAAAATGGGCTCTTTCGGCTCGAGAAAAATATAAATTTGACTTTCCATAATGAAATTACAAAAAAATGAGACTTTTCCCAATTGATTTCTAAGGATCTAACATTCCTAACCTATTTGAAATTCTCTTAATTATCTTGAATAACATTATTTTAAATTGAATTACTAAATGAAACTATTTTCCAATAAAATATTAACTCATACTCTCCGTTTTGTCTTACACATAGGAATCATTTTTAATTTTACGGTGTTTAAAACCAATTCTACCTGGTACTGAAGTATTTCATTGTTATGGACCGCATTATTTACACTATCCATCAAGTGTTCAACGTGTAACACTTCTTCAACAACAATATTTTTTTATTTGTGATTGTGAACATTGTAGTAAACCTATTCAATCTTCATCATTGTCTACCTCAATTACAGATCAACAAATGTCTGTTATCCCAACTAATGAAATGTTAATCGAATGGAAAGATACTGCTGACAAAGTAAGTATTATTGTTGAAATTTAGTACTATGTAAAAACGACTGTTATAGGTTGACAGCATCACTGAAAATCAGGTCAAATGGTAATAATCAGTAACAGACCCTCACATAATTATTTCACTACTCAATTTTTTATACCATATCAACACAATTGGATGGAATGAACATAAGTAGTAATAGTAGTAATAGCAGTAGTAGTATTGAAATAGTCGAAATAATTGTTGTAAGATAGATTGTAAGAAAGGTTAAACACTGAAAATATAGTTTTTATAAGATGAAATGAGGATGCATATTTAAAGAAATGGTTGAACTGAAGACCTCGAGTAAGATGAAACGTGAATACATTCGCGCTATTATGACTCTAATTTAGATCAATGTTACTCAACTTCTCCACCAAATGACCAATGGAGTTCAACCGTGTCTGGTGTGAGGTAGTTACTCAATAAAGACAATGCATAACAGTCATCCAGTATCGTGGAATATCAATATTAGTAGAAAATATTATTTCATAGACATTATAATTTGAGGAAAACTAATTGATAGTGTAATAATGATGAAATGATTTGGGAAATCAGGATCTAAATTGAATATGATAAACGAGTTCATTTGCATCATTGAAGCATTATGATAAATATTGTTGTTTTAAAAATTCGTTTTTTCATAAACTGGCTAAAATAAGTGAAGTTTTCTTTAAAATATAAGTGTTTCATTGATAAGCTGAGTCAATTAGATAAAGGCTAAAATAATAAATGAAATAGGCTAAAGGCTGCACACTTTTGGTCAAGATTTTGTTTTACTCACTGAAGAAACAGATATACTCTGTTAGTTGAAAAAGTATCGATATTTAATAATTTAGTTAATTATTCAAAGGTATCTGCCCACTTTCAGTTTTCTGTTTGGAGTGGGTATTTTGGTGTTGCTTATAGGAAGCGTATAAATCAAAAATATCATAGAACTACAACACATTATGACAGTTATAATGTTTATTGTTAAGTTTTTCTACATTCTTATTTTAATACGATTATCTTTTTAATGTATTTAGAATGTGAATAATAGTGGAATCTAGAATAAGTTACTTACTTAAGCCTATTACTCCCAATGGAGGATAGGCCGCCGACTAACATTCTCCAACCCACTCTGTCCTGGGCCTTCCTTTCTAGTTCTATCCAGTTCTTGTTCATTCTTCTCATGTCTGTCTCTATTTCTCAGCGTAATGTGTTCTATGATCTTCCTCTCCTCCTTTGACCTTCAGGATTCCATGTGAGGGCTTGTCGTGTGACGCAATTAGGTGATTTCCTCAAGGTGTGCCTAATCCACTTCCAGTGCTTCTTCCTGATTTCTTCCTCCACTGGATGGAATCTGGTTTGTTGTGTCCCACAGTAGAATGTTGCTGATAGTGTCTGACCAACGGATCAGACAACTGTTGATAAACACCTGTATCTTCTGGATGATGGCTTTCGTAGTTCTGCACGTCTCCGCCTCATACAGTAGAATTGTTTTGATATATGTATTAAAAATTCTGATCTTGGTGCTCTATCCTATTTGAAATTTTTCACTTGGATATATCTGTAACCAAGTATTGTTACTTATACTCAAACCTAGCATATTTCACTTTTAAACACCTAGCAATTTATCCATCAATTAAATTAAGTCCTGATATTTAGTAAAACTTTCAATGTATATGATCGTATTAATGAAAGTTTTTTTAAAATTTCCCATTAATTGATATTAAAGATTATAATTAAACAAAATCCTTATTTCCATCATCTATACATCTCCACTAGATTATCTTGATATAATTATTTTATCCAAAAAAATTCTTCACCTCTTCAATTTTTGTTGCTGTTGTTGTTGTTTTGTTTCTTTTTAGCTTTTACAAATACCTTGGCAATCTATACAATCAATAGAGGATTTAAAGAATACAATTGAAACTATACAAAATAATAATAATAAACTTGAGTCAACTCATTTATGGTCATTATCAAGTACTACTACTACTACTACTACTACCACTACTACTACTACCACTACCACTACCACTACTACTACTACTACTACTACTAATAATAATAATAATAATAATAATAATAATAATGGTAATAGTAATAATAATAATAATGATATAGGTAATTTATTAAATATATTAGGTAGACAATATTTAATTCAATCAAAATTAATTAAAAATAATTTTAATCAATTAAATTGGTTATTAATACAAAATATTGGTTTATTATATTTACATAAATCAATTGAATGGATTCAATTCCTATATGGTTCTATTAGTTATGAATATTTATGGGAATTAATTAATTATTATAATTTATTAAATCAATTAAATAATAATCATTATCATAATAATTTATTAAATGAATTTATTAAATTTAATAAACAATTAAAAATTAATTTAATAATTAAATTTAATAATGAAAAATCAATTTTTAATGAAATAATGAAAATATCAAATTTATTATATGGTATTCATAAAACAAATATAATTATTAAAAAATATTTACATATATAATAATAATAATAATAATAATAATAAAACTTGATTTGTTTAGTAGATTGTATCGTTATTTTTTCTTTTTTTTCTTTTGAAAAAGATTGTTTATCATATTTAAGCAAATGACTTGATTGATGATAATATTAAGTTGTTAAACAAAATATTAATGGAGAAATGGATTCATTAAATATTTCTTGGAGTTCTAGTGAGAAACAGTGACCAGTGGAGTTTAATTGGGTTTGTTGTGAGATAGTAACTCACTGAAGATAATGATGGATGATTGCTCAATTTTGTGAATTGGTTGAAGTTAGATATTAACACTGTTGGATACCGGCCCCCCCCCCAAAAATGCCTTGCTACGGCCGAGAGTGGGGAGAGTTCGCTTTCCTTCTCGAAATACTCTCACACGGCAAGAAGTTGTACTTAGTACCTTCTCGTGGTGGGGTGTTGTTTACGAAATTGAGTGGACAAAAAGCGAATATGTGGTGTTTTAACCGGGCCAGCGGACACGGAAAGTTCACCTAGGGAAGTTGGAAAACCACAATTCTAAAACAATGGTGCACATGGGTTCCAGTATTCTGAAGGAACAAATGGCGTATGAACCAATCATCGATCACCAGCTACCATGGGATTGCATCTCCTCACGATGCTCCACTGCCTTGTGGATCAGATCTTTAGGTCAAAGGCTTGGGATGTGGCCCCCTAAGAAAACCACTTGCTTCAGTTTGGGCACCTGTGCAGTATCACAGCCCTCACACGAATCAAATGAGATTTGTGCGCGCATATATATTCGGTGATTCTTTGTACTAATATTTATGTGTTTAAATAAATAAATAATGGATTCAGGGTCAGTGGTCTAGTGGCTAAGCGCTCGCGAGGTGGGATCATGGATGAGCACTGCTGAGGAGTCCCACAATAGGACGAAATGGTCATGCAGTGCTTCCACGTTTTCCATTTAAACTCAGAAATAGATAAAAAAGTTCATGGTACATTGAGATTTATTGTAGCTTTGGCAGGAAAAAATAGCCTATCTACATTACTTTACCATTTTAGAGTTGATTCAATTAAACTTCTATTGAAAAAAGGCTTAAATCAGTTATCAACAAAAAATATTATGCAGTAACAATCATTATCAAAGAAACAATAAGGTCCATGCTTCATTCAAAACCTAAAAGACATGAAAACGATTGTGTCATATCCCACTGTATTTACTAATTTAAATGTGTATGTGGTCACACATACATAGGGAGGAGTAAGCGTGATCTGAAAATTAGGGTGTATGAACATGTACCAAAATGGTTGCAGAAATAAATAGAATCGAATGACCCGATAATAGTAAATGTTAAACATCCATCATCCTCTATTGCCAAACATACAATTGAAACAGGTCATAAGATTGATCTTAATTCAGCTTTTGTAGTGTTGTATAAAAGTGTTAAAGGGTTTATACTAAGGTTTATTAAAGCCTTAGTAGTATGTATCATCACTCGAAAATGAAATACCTTGAGGTACAAGGTGAAGAAGATTGAAGAAAAGGGAATGAGAACAGGGAATGATTGATGTAGAAACGAAAGAATAATAAAGTCTGGAACGAATGATCAATATTTTATCAATGAAGAATTTACTATATCGTTCTCAGATTTTACTAAACCATTCTGTTTTCATGGAGTTTCGTTCTCTGAGCTGAATGGTTTGGTCGTGCAGCTTTCATCGTCCTTCTGAACGACGTCATCAGCACAAACTTTGATTAGAAGTGAAGTGTTTGAATTTCTCCACATGTGGTTCACAGCTTGTCCTGTACATCTTGATGTTGATTGGTCAATGTCTTTCAGAAGAACGATGAAAGCTCTACGACGAAACCATCCAACTCAGTGAACAAAACTCCATTAAAATCATCCACCTGAGCTACAAAGCTTCACCATCTAAAAGAGATTCTGTAATTTGTGTGCGAATTCATTTGATTATCCCTACTTGTGTTCTAGTTCACTACAATAGCAGGTTTAGCATTTTGAACGTGAAGTTCATTCATCCATGTGATCAAATAGCAATTTTACATTACAGCTGATGTCATCGTGTGATGAAAATCCTAACTTGAATTCTTAACCCTTACTTGTAACTGTTAATACTAATCCTAATTCCTGATACCAATTTATAACACTCTTTTAACCTTAGTAAGTAGATGAATTTCCTTAAGGTCACTTTATCATCGCTCAAAGGTAGATCATAACTCATAGTCCCCCTCGACTTTTCTAATTCTTTTGTTTTTTGAAATACAATACTATTCTATATCGATAAATTTCAGTTCTGTTTACAATTACATTTGCAATCGGAGTGTATAAAATAATAATTACTAGTATATTTACGTTTGAATACTTATGGAATAGTGAGTGAGGAATATTTTTCATTTTTAGTCTTTAGTGCTGATCAAATTCTACCGATTAAGTTGGAATATCATCCTAGTATCCAAGCTATCAGTATCAAGGGATTAGATTAATTTGATACCGTCCACTACTCAGTAATCGATTAGTTACAAATATATCAACCCTCCAGAATGTCAGTCTCAATCCTAGTAGATCAACGGTGACATATTAGATGACGATACTGAATGATACAAGTTTATATTCACTTGGGAATATCATTTCCTCCCTAAGATTATACGTACACATTGCTTATATATATAGAAGAAAATTATGAATTTCAAGGTGATTTAAAAAAGGTTTACATTTTGTTCGATATGCTGATGTTTATCAGTAGTTTTATAATTTTCCAGTAGCCCTAAGCCATCCAAAATGCTATAAAAACTCTAAATTTTCTGTGCAAAGACAAACTCTTGGAGTGAAGCGTCTCTTCCATATTCCGTGCTCTTTCTCTTGTGTCCTAGTCGTTGTGTTGATTTAACCTGGAAGTTACTAGAAGGGATTAGGAACCGAATCTAGCATTCAATTAGAAGACTTATCATTAATGATCCTTTATTTTAATCAAAATTAGTGTTACGGAAGGAACTTAATGGATATAAATAACTATAAACAATTATTTTGAATATTATCCATTTTTACTGAAAGTTGATGCTTACCACGAATGTTCACTATGAAATTTAGGTACATTCAGTTAACAAGTTCCGAATTGGACGAATTACACTGTTAGCCGCATTCCATCTATTCTATTTAAACGAGAACATGTTTTTTGAAATCATGTGTTACTACAAACTGGAAAAAAATATTTGTATTCTGAACAACAACATCAATGATGACATCAATTATGTTTATAATATGCTTACTAAGTTTACATTAGACAGTATGCAAAACTATTAAACGTTAATTGAACATAACAAAAAACAATTCATTTAAACACAAAATATATTATTTTAGTTGGTTTCTATGTAAAGGGAAGTTAATATTCATGATTCACATGGGGAATTTGTATGTTTGTCAACGATGTTCTTATTTTGAACAGTTTGTGTTTTTTTTTGTTTGTCTAAAATTGAAAAAGAAAAACATCAATAATACTTATACAAAGTACAAAAATCAGCAATCTATCGATTTGGATACTTTGATTACATAAATTGGTCTAAAAATACAGAAACCCCCCCTTTTTTCATTCAATAAATCCCTTTTATTTATTCTATAATAATCTGTATCGTAATAAACCGTACAGAATGTACATATATATCAACCAAGATTTATTAAATTCCAGTTAAAATATTAACAAAAAACTAATTTAAATTACTATAAATTAAATTAATTCTTTCATTTAGTATAACAGTGGTGAGTGCTACTGATATCGATAGATATAAGTAGTATGTGTTATCAGTTGAAGATGAAAGGCTTAACGACAGAAGGCTGAGAATGATTGGTGTGGAAACGAAAAGAACAATGAAGTCTGAGACGATTGATTGACATTTCACAAATGAAGTATTTACTGCATGATTCTCAGATTTTACTAAAATGTTCTGTAATTTTGTATTTAAGTACATGTTTTATGGCGTAAGAATAGGTTGGGAGAAAGCTAGGGGTGGCCAGACCAAAACGTGACACAAATCCATGAAGTCACTGACAAGTGGACTGGGCCATGTTGGTAGGTGTAGACTACCTGGTTGGAATTTGCGAGATGATAGCAATCGATGGTTAGAGATCTTGAATGACATGGCTCCAAATCGTTTGCAATGGCGAAGGTACATCCACTTTTTGTGTTCTACCAAATTCTAATCTGAATTCTTCATGTCTCTATCTTTTTTCTCTTTCCAAATTTATTTCACTGTATTATACTCCTTGAATAACATCTTCAAACCCTTATCTTTCACATAATACTTATACTCTTACTACTTCTACCACTATGGGATTTGAATGGACAAGTGCATCTTTGTGCTAATGTGGTATGGCAACTCGAACTGATGTACGTACGTACGAAGTTCTACGTTGTGACTGACTGACTGATTTAAGTACATTCGATTGTCCTCACTTATGATGTTGTTCACTTCGTAACGACCAAAACAAAATAGATAAATTCGAACGAACACAGTTTATAATTCATAAAATACGTGATTAAGGATAATTTATACCGATCATAGTGAATATGTATTGATCACATTTATGCACGTCAAAAAAATTAAGACAATTTTCTATATATATATATATATATATATAGCTTATTTCTTTTACACTTGAAGCACTATGTAAGTGACTCAATGTATTTAGTAATGAATGAACAAACATTGTATTATTATATAGTTGAAAGCATGAATCGATTGAAGCTAGACCACCATGGAAAACCTGGAAGCACTGGATAGCCTTTTCATTCTATTGTGAGACTCCTCAGCATGGTGGTCTAGCTTCAATTGACTAATGATTTCAACTATATAATATTACTAAAATCTCCACAAAACCACCCTTCTGATAAACATTGTATTATTTTTTTGTCTATTAATTTAGATCTGTTACATTCAACTTTCTAATTTACTCGCATCAAAAATAATTTATAATATCGATATTGACTTTCTTTGTGGTGTATGCCACTTATGT